CCCACAGTCACCAGATCTCAACCCAATAGAGCATCTTTGGGATGTGGTGGAACGGGAGCTTCGTGCCCTGGATGTGCATCCCACAAATCTCCATCAACTGCCAGATGCTATCCTATCAATATGGGCCAACATTTCTAAAGAATGCTTTCAGCACCTTGTTGAATGAATACCACGTAGAATTAAGGCAGTTCTGAAGGCGAAAGGGGGTCAAACACCGTATTAGTATGGTGTTCCTAATAATCCTTTAGGTGAGTGTAGTAGTAATGCATACACAACACGATCACATTTAAGACCAACAAATGAAAGCTGCGAGATACTTGATAAGCAGGCTACCTTTGCAAGCTTCATGCCACCTTTGTCAAGTATAGCTTGTCTATTTATATGCCAAATAAACCAGATGTCAAACATACAGACGACAGAACAACTGTTGTAGTAATTACAGTAAGTTAAACAAAAGATTCCATATGATGCACAACTGAGTTGTGATTCAGACACTAAATATTCAGGGAAAATGCAGATGGCATTTAAGCACAAATGTAACCGAATTAACTCGGTTACTACAAGACAGATTGAGGTCTTACAAAGATACTTTCTTGTCGCATACTGTGGTGGTGATGAAGCAGCTTTATGTATGTCTGTAGGTGCCTGGACTCTCATGGAAGATATGCAGTTTCAGACCTTGCCTACAAAACCATCTACTACCTACTATTGTCACCAAACTCCAAAGAAGGTACTTAACATTGAAGTGGGTTCAGAAGAACAATGCGATTCTTGATCTTAAAGGATCAACATGCAAGCTGGAGTTGGAAACAAAAAAATATATTTTAGTGCAAAGGTGAATAACGTAGTTAACAACAAGTGTGCTTTGTCCTGAGAAGACCAGATTAATCCCAAGAAGTGCATCTACTGTCATCACGTGCACAAGGCTCAGACTAGAGCCTTGCTGGGAATGCGGAAAACACATTCAAAGTGGGGCAAAACTACTGAGCCTTCAGATTTACCTAAATGAACACTGTTGCAAATTAAATCATCATTAAACAAGCATTCAGGGCTGAGTGCATCTCTGCTCCGTAGTCAAGACAGTTAGCCACTGACAAGATGGTGAACCAGAGGACCTATGTCCCAGAAAAGGCCAGTCAAACTAGCAACTGTCTAGAATCAGTTGATTATGAGAAACCTCACCAAGGCAGAAAGACTTTGCATAAGCAAATATTATGATGCAAAACACGGATGTATGTGTCATAAATACATTAGGAGTGTGTCAATCATTTTATAGAGTCACCCTTATAAAATACAGTACTGTGCACAACTTTGTCCACAAAGTCACTCTTATAGAGCCGAGTATTACCAAGAATCAATCCACAGAGTCCCCTTATAGTATACAGAATTACCCATGACTATATCCACAGAGACACCCTTACAGCATACAGTATTGTTCCAACTATATCCACAGAGTCCACTATCCACAAAATAAAACTTACAGATCAAAATATTACTATGACTCTATCCAAAGAATCGCCCTTATTCAATGCAGGATTATCCACACCTTTATCCACAGTGTTGCCCTTTACAGAACACAGTACTACCGTAGTATACAATATGACCATTACTGTATTCACCGAGTCACCCTTATAGTATGCAGTATTACCCATGACTCTATTCACAGTCTCTTTATAGAACCGAGTTATACCCTACACTCTATCCACAGTCACCCTTACAGAATACAGTATTGCTCCAACTATATGCACAGTCGACTTTATGGAATTTATGATTACCCACAATTTTATCCAGTGTTGCCCCTTATAGAACACAGTATAACCACGACTGTATTTACAGTCACCCTTACAGAATGCAGTATTACCAAGACTCTATCCACAGAGTAACTCTTTTAAAACAGTACTATGCACAACATAGAGACAACCTTTTAAAATACAATATTGCCCATGACTATTTCCACAGAGTCATCCTTAGAGGGCCCAGTATTACTCCAACTCTGTCCGCAAAATTGCCCTTATAGAATGCAGGATTACCCATGACGTCATCCACAGCATCGCCCTTACGGAAGACAGTATGACCACAACTCTCTCCACAGAGTCACCATTACAGAATGCAATATTATTCACGACTCTTTCCACAGAGTCTTCCTTAGAGGACCCAGTATTACCGTACACTCTATCCACAAAAGCAACCTTACAAAACACAATATTATTACGACTATCCACAGAAGTATCCACTACTTCATCCACAGTGTCACTCTGTACAGATCACAGTACTACCATAAAACACAGAGTCACCCTTACAGAATGCAGAATTACCACAACTATATCCACACAGTCATCCTTATAGAATGCAGTAGTACGACTCTTTCCACAGAGTCATTACGATACATTTCATACACAGAGTCACTCTTACAGAAGATTCACTGCATAATTCATTTAGCAAAAAAAAGCTCTCATCATATTCGGTAAAATCCTGAATTAAAATAATGTTAGGAAGATGAATACATGGATGAATGGAAAGATGGATGGATATTATGATTTTTTCTAGTACCACAAAGTAAACTGATAAATATGATTCTGATGTTAGTTGTGCTTAAAGAGTAAAATCAGGGGCAGACAAGTTCAAGGAACACAACCAGCAAACAAACCACATCAAAACAACCAGCAAACAAACCACATTCACACAACCAGCAAACAAACCACATTCACACAATCAGCAAACAAACCAAATTCAATGAATTTCAGGTGTTTCTTGTCCTGGTTCCTCTGCTCGTCTACTGACTTGGCACCACTAGTGTTCGGCGATTTCTGATACTGCCTATGCTGTAATGGCAGGAGCTCTCACTACTTAACCACTGAACTCAGGCTCATATATGACGATCTCAGCAACTTAACAGCTCCTACATCTAACAACAAAAGCGACAACAACAAAGATGATGACGAAGATACCAACAAAGGCCAGCTCTTACGATTTAGTCACCTTGACGCACAAAAATGTCCAAGTGCTAGGAATATGCATTTTACATTTTATTTACAGGAAAATGTCTACGCACATTAAACATTAAATTGTAAACATCGAATAATCAAAGTATAATTCCACAGAATGCAGTTTACAGTTCTAGATGCAACACATTTCAATCATCTGAAAAGAAATGAAAACGAAAACAAAATTAGTAGACACTATATTTGCTTCATCCGGATATAGGGGCCTCGGTTGCCATGTCAAAACGGCCCGCGAACTACCTCTGACAAGGTATTTAAAGAGAAAGGCAACAGCGAATCCACGTCCACGACGCAAACACTCAGCACAATTCGCTTTGGATAACAGCTAAATAATGGTAATTCATTATAAGGTTACTAAACAAATTCAAGTTGCACAAAACATTGTGCGACTTAAGATTATGACTCGGATTTTTTTTTTTTAAATATCCAATCAAACTAAATAGGCCTAACACTGAAAATTTTAATTTCTTTTTTCTAGAGGCCTTATACCTAACGTATAAGCCTACAGTATAAATGGCGGATCTTTTACAAAATACGTGCTAATTACCACTATTAAAAGAGGAAGCTCAACGATATTTTCAAGTGAGATGTTACAAGTATTTTCATAAGCATTTAATATGGCGTAAATCTCACAACCTTGAACATAAACACATTTTCAAGGAAATTACATTTAATTTCAACGTTAATTTTACCCCAGAGTGTTATAGAGGCCGCTATCCATTTCATTAGAAGCAAGAGAAACAAGATTATGAACTTACTGCGATCATTTGGGATCCATTTATGTGAGCCGAATCGACCAGCCTTCAGAGTCTGACGCGCCGTAATCCCCACTAAACCGCTCGCGCCCTTTCTCCCCCAGATAAGGGGAGCCAGCAGCTGCGACTCCGGACAGTTACGGTTATATATGATGTAAATATATTGAGGGTTTGTCAGCTCTCCCAAACCATAAAACTCACTTTAATGACACCACGTGTTCCCCCTGAGCCACTCGCGATCCCGCTTCAGGCATTTGGAATGAATAACCTTCAAAAGTTCAAAATGCAAGAAAAGAAAGACTGAAAAGGGTTTCCCCATAAAAGCTACACTCTCTTCGCTGTTGAGACCAAAAGTTTGTATGATTGCCGAGAGTTTGTTTTAAGACTGTACTTTTATCAGAGGGGAACTGTAATGTGAGAACGCGATCCGGGAGGGTGAGTCACTTTCCATTTTCCTTTCGAAGGAATAGAATCAAATGAAATGTCATCTGAGTTTAGGATTAATTAATTAATGGCTGGACTGCATGGAGAACATTAATGGATAAACATCTTTCATCAGTGAAAACAATTCAGAAGATTATGGAGAAAGAAAAGTTAAACAGAGAAAATAATAAGCATGAATAATTAATCACTGCGATACCTGTGGCTTTCGGCCACTGTAATGGAAACTTAGAGAATATGTCGGCGTTGTTGGTTTTCCGTTCATGGCCTCCTGCTGTAATGTTATTCTAAAATGTATTATTTTCAAAGTGCTTGCGTCAATACTGACATTAATACTTCACGTAGGGAAAAATCATTAGAGACTTTGTACCATAAAGACTCCTGTCGGTTTTGCTCGAGCAGTACAAAGAGGTACTCAGAAATGTATGTTTTATCGTCTGATTTGATGTATCTTACTACGCGCATTCCAAACTTGAAATCATTTCTCAAAATTCACATTTCTAATGTATCAAAGGAACTTCAACCTATGTAACATTCTCGAGGACCATATTTTGGAGAATGCCATTCTATTTTATATTAGATAATAATGCTACTTAATACTGCAGTATCCAAAATATTTTATCCGTTATATTAAAAAGTTGAGCAATATTCGATGTTGTAGATTTTTTGTATTGTACTACAGAATAGTTTTCCATACTATACAGTAATACTACTTTATTGTACAATAGTGATCATATTGTGATCAAAAGTCATAACAAGTGTGTTTTATTTTTGTCATTCAGAATTACTTGATAGAGTACTTATTTTTTTCGTTAGGTTACTTTTACATTGTAGTCATTCCTATTATTAGGTATTTTATTCAAGATGTATCACTTTGAAACAATATTTTATAAAGCGGATTTACATTTTCGAAGATTATCTTTACGCACAGTTATGACTACTAAAATAATTAGTTTTGTTCCCCTGACACAACTACCATTTTCCCGAATCGTTGAAAACAGGAAGTTGTTGTGCTTATTGCGAAAGGGTGAGACGTTGTTGAGTTTTATCGAGACTATTAAATTTTATGGACGGTTTTCTTTAGGCTGACTGTAAGTCATTCGCTTGGACGTGTGAACAGCCTGAAACGATGCAGCAATACTGTCATACGTTTTCCCATTAAAGTGTTCAACACCAGCAATATGGTTTTCAAACGCTATACTTTGTTATTTTAAAAGTATGACATTCATCAGTAATTATCAGAATAAAAATTCGCGTTAGTTTGGCGAAATGACAACTTTCGTCATTTTCTTGGAAATGAAGGTTGTACTGGGTATATGTGGGTGTATGTAATAATATAATAATAACAGTTACTTGCTACTTGTGGTCGTGCGTGTGTGTGTGTGTGTGTGTGTGTGTGTGTGTGTGTGTGTGTGAACACTCACACCAAGTAGTACTGTGCAATAGGTATAGCTGTATGCTATATTTTCCAATTAAAAAAATAAGAACAATACTAATTGTGAACAAAATGTGAACAAAATATACAGATTACAAATGTAACTCACAATACTGCATATTTTATTTGTAGTATTACACAAATATACAAAATTAAATCAATGTACGATTCCTTCCAGCATGCCTTGTTCTCAGAAAACGGTTCAGGGATGGACATAAGCGAGTGTATATGTAAACAATGCATTATCCCTAACAAATGTGTTCTGTATTTTAAATGTCTCCGTAGTCACACCTTATTTTACAAGTATCTCCAATTCCACAACAGAGAATTTCAGAGCAGAACAAAAAATATAAATAATCCATATAATTATATCGATATATTAGCAATATAGTAATTTCTAAAATAAAAAAAGAACCTTCTATATCGACTCAAGTCAACCTGACATAAAAATTATGTTTATAACATTATAGAATACATGAAATGCGTAGGAAATGGTTGGTCATCTGATAGACCTCATGGTAATGCCAACAGAAGACACAACTGCTTTCATAGGAGAAAAAAAGTTGGTTCAACCCCTTCAAGCGAGAAAACATATTGACCACGACCTGTTATTTTATTAATTAACTAAAACTATGCAAAATGCCCTTGAAAAATAAGAGGTGAGTAAAAAAACTTTATAGACGGGGTTCTGACCAATTACGTCTAGAGAACATCAGAAGATTAAGCATGATTCGATTGACTCCATTGCATTTGTAGCCTGTTTGTGTGCTAGAAATAACTAAGAACAAAGATGGACCCAAAAGCGGCGAATTCAGCAGCTAAATTCTGTTAATTTCACTGTTGTGTCACATTTTCAATGATTCCCATCCGCTTCGTCAGCAGTGCAGTGAATTTCTCTAATGCACCATCCAATATTATTTGACCATTGTATTACACTGGCATGTTATTTGCGATCTCAGTTCATTTAATTGAATTTACACTCTTCTTTATGGCAATTTGTGGAATGAACATTTAAAACGTTTAAACCCTTAGGGGGCTTTGCTAAATATCCTCTGCTGTTATGTTTTATACTTAGGGTTACATATATAAAAATATAGATTGAAAGTTTAATGGATGCCTGAACTCAGAATGTGTTCTTAGTGATCTTATCCATTTCCACTCAGATTCACGAGTAATCGGGGTGTGGCCTCTTACCCCTCCCCCCCCCCCCCCCCACAATACTCACCGCTACTGTGTGCATCAACACATGTAACGTCACAAAATAACAACTGGAATAGTTAAATAATCATGACAACAATAACGGAAGCACACATAAGCTACACATAAAGATATTTTACACATACATATCCAAAACGTGAAAATATCGAATAAGTTACTGCTTTAGGAACGTGTTGAGTGCTGGAAGATTTGGCCTCCTGTTTCATCACCACTTTCGTTTATTCCGTTCGCTCTTCCTATAGGCATTAGAAAGCCAGAAAGCAATCCCCACTGTTTTTTTTTTTTACATTGATTCCTTTACTTTCAGCTTTGAATCCTTCTTCCACTTCATGCGCCGATTCTGGAACCAGATTTTAATCTGCCTCTCATTCAGACAGAGGCTATTGGCGATCTCGATACGCCTACGGCGGGTGAGGTACCGGTTGAAATGGAATTCTTTCTCCAGTTCCAGAGTCTGGTAGCGGGTGTAACTGGTCCGTGACCGTTTACCGTCAGATTCTGAAGTGGTAGAAGAGAAAAGTTTCCTCAACCATGAGATGCAGTCAACCAGACAACAGGAAACTAACTGCACATCCAAAAGCTTTGTGCTTCTAAAATCCTTGTTACATATATGCAGAAAATCCATATATAGACTTAACCACTGTTACATTGTAGCCGATTGACAATTCATATAAATAATTATTTACAGGAATAATGGCCTGATACATCTCATACACACTATATACATTGTTACAATTGCAAACCTTGCAAATGTGACGTGAATCAGTTGAATAGATAAATAAATATTATGTAAAACGGGCTATATAAAACGTTTTACAAGAAATTAATCCATCAGTATTAAAACATTAGGAACAACATTTGTGGAAAAAACTGTGCAACACATCAATGGGCGTTTTAAACTGGAAATCTTGACAGCGAATTTCAGTTTAGTACAGACGACAAGACTTTTAAGAAATAGTAGTAGTAGCAAATAATAATATAGGCTACCTAATAATAATAATAATAATCTTCAGCGTCGCCTCGTGAATGACCTTACAGTGACTGTTCATCTGCACCAGCAGATTTCGAGGTGAAAAGTTCAAATCAAGGGCAGCACGTTCATCCGGCATCGACCAAAAATGTTCTATACTTACCCGCTTGTGGTAAAAAAAAAAAAAAAAGTGCTGGATCGCAATGACAAAAGTTACGTTTTTCACAACACTACTACTACTAAATTACTAACTGCAAAATTCACGTTTAAGGCAACTAAATGTTCTAACATAAATACGTTGTTTGTCGGCTGTTTGCGAGTTTAGTTTCATCCAATTATGCTGTCATAAATTTGAACGTGGATCGCCTCTTCGCCTTAACAGGACAGTTTTACGAGCAACTGATGCCTTTGTCATAAAATTTACGACCCCTAGTTTTATTATTTCCCCCAGTATGGCCTATAAAACTGAAGAAGAAAACCAGGAATGAAGACAGAGGGTAAAACGGGGCTACACAGAAGAAAAGCCACACTTCCTCTTGCCTAAAAAATACGAAAATGTAACACTTTACCGTGACTCATATGCAGCTTTGTCATCCACGGGTATATCTGCGGCTGCTGCTGGCTGCTCTGAGGCTGGCTCGAGTTATTTGCTTGTGTTATTGGCTGGACGGTTTGCATGGTTTCAACTTTAATCTCGTCTGCTCTTGTCTTGCCGCCGGGCTTGTCGCTTAACTCCGTGTCTCCCTCGGTTTTTTGACTGAACAGCCCGAGCCTGGGAGCGCGCTGCCCGTTCGCGCTCACTGCACGCCTAGGGGAGCTTAAAGCCGAACAAGACTGCGGCCGCGGCGGCAGGGCGTCTGGGCTGCCGCGCAGATTCACGCTCATCTCCTCCCGTTTGTGGGAGTTCGAGGAAGCTGCCGGAGTGAAGGATCCGCTGAGATCAAGCCCGCTGTAACAGTAACTGGATGCATGGAGCTCAGAGAGAGATCCATAGCTGCCAAAACCGTGCATGGTGTAGGCAGATGCCTCGTGGGCTTGCTTATAAAACGAGTTGGCTACGTAAGAGCTCATTTTATTTAAGAATAAAAAATGTATAAAAAACAGAAGCATTTAATTTGGGATAACCATGAGTCTATATAAAAGTATAATTTAAAGAATCACGGTAACCGATGATCAGCAAGTAACTGTTATTATTATTTATTATGCTTGATTTGTAGCTCTTTGGAAGTTCAAGGGGCCTTTGTCCTAAAAAAGACCAGGATTTATAGGGGGGGGATCATTTTCTTTTTTTCTTGGTTCGACGTGCACTGCCCAAATATGGGATGTTTTAATAGAATCACGTGCCCGTATTGGCCAGTCATAAATTGTCTTGATCCCCCGAGGAGCTTATTGATGGATGAAAGAAACGTGTCTGATAACTTGGTGGAGGAGACCAAGTCGAGGCGAGTGCGGAGAAAGGTTGGAGTGCGAGCCGAGAGCGTCATCTGGTGTCCAAGATGGGCCAAAACGCGTAGTATCCTACAACCCCTACCGGGAGCTCGGGTTCGGCGATGCTGGGCTACCGCTCGAGGGCAGCGCGGTCACGTAGTCACTGCACAGTTACCCAAGGGGGGAAGGGGCCAAGACATGCGGTTAAAGTATGTCTTCACAACCTCCAACTTGGACTGAGATTTGAAACAATAAATTTGGAGGTGTCCTAAAATATAGACAAGTAGGTAGTTTTAAATGTAGGCCTATTAAAAAAAAGAAAACACTGAAGCAGTACTATTGCAGACGGACGATTGTCAGCTAAAATGACGGCAATCTTAAAACATGAAGGGAATTATTATTATTATTATTATTATTATTATTATTATTATTATTATTATTACACCAACACTTGGTGTGTTACACCATTAGCAACAATACACAGAGATGGGGGTCAGCCATTTCGTTTGGCGTTTATTAAGTTTCATCCTTGTGATAAATACATGTGATGATAGATGAATAGTGTTTAAAAAGAAACATTATCGGTTTGCCAAAATAAGGCCATTTCTTTTTTTAAAATTTGCAACATGCTACTTGCTACTTAATCGAAGCGCAACACAGTACTCAGGCATTAAAAACCACCAACCCTTTGCCTCTTATTTAGGCTTTAGAAACATCGTGGTTTGTTTTTAGAAACGATTTTTAAAATGCAAAAATTGCCCTTAGTGTAAAAGAATTGAAAATAATTGAAAAGAACGTTCAGACAGACATGATTTATTGTTTTCATGTTTTTATTGATCCGAATATAGGCTACTAGGAAAGAAAATTATTTTTTTTATTAAAACGTGATGATAAACCTTTGCATATCGTCGAACTGTTCTAACACCCAGACACAACATCTAGTGAATTGCCCCTTAGCGATGTACTTTTTAAAGCATTGTTAATACACCCAAATCATACGTTTGTTACCGATATCATCCGTTTAATTTTATTTTACGCTCAAAGTTCCTTGTTAATTATCTTTAAAATATGTCTTCATGCTAGGTTTTATTAATTTATGCTTCAATAGGCCTACTTTATTTTGAACTGTGTGTAAGTTTTAAAACACGATATGTGTTGTCTTTACGACATATGACTGTTGTTATCGTTGTAATTGTCATGATTACTCCATAAAATAAATTTGTGCAAATATAAATATTTTGCATAGAATGTAATAATGCGCTGTAGACCTATTTCCCTTTCTTGCATTTATACAAAGGTACACCACCGGACAATCGCTGGGATTCTAATGGTTTTATTAATACTGAATAACACCATAAGATTATAATTTAAATTTCTAATAATAAAGGTAGTTTTATTTCTAAATTTTGGCATTAGTAAGAGTGCGATATTGTACTGTATCACATTTTAACTCAGTACAGCATAATTAACGTCTTAAGAGAACCTGAATAATATGGTCTAACTCACGGGTGGGGCGTGTGTTTCATATATACAGACATATGTACAGTTCAGGTAGTATAGACCGTCCCGTGACAAACTTTTCAACATTTGAACAAACTGCATTGTTAACACAATATACGAAAACATGAAATTACTCGTGTTTCACAGGAAATGTAAAGCATTCACGCCTTCATTCTCGGAATGACCATGCGTGTGTTTTTACACACGATGGATTTTCATCAGAAATACAAACCTATTGACAGACACAAGGACATTTATTTACAGACACGTTGGAGCGACAGCGCCATTGTAGTTGAGTAAAATAAAAAGAAAGATTTTTACTAAAATACACGTGAAAACATGTGAAGTAGTCAGCAGTAGAATTATTTCCACAGTAGGAGGGTTTTTTTCAAGGCATATTTTATCAGAATTGAATATAAGTGCAAATGCGTGTGAGAGCTTGTGGGATCAGAGAGAGACAGCGAGAGAGTGGATGACGAAGAGAAAACTCAAAGGGTCATATATATGCATACAACGTCCATGCAGTTACAAGTTATGTATGTACCAAAAATTTTGTCTTAGCGAGTTCAGTTACAGCTACATTAACCGATACGTGGAATACGAAGATCCGGGTTTCAGTCCTTCTTCTTCGCGTCATCTGCCTCCTCTTCAATGTCTTCTTTCTCTGTTTCCTGGGACACCCCAGCTGATATGCTACTCGTTAGAGTAGAGCTTAGGTTACTCTCTTTCTTCCATTTCATGCGGCGATTTTGAAACCAGATTTTGATCTGCCTTTCTGTTAGACAAAGAGCGTTGGCGATTTCAATACGCCGGCGCCTGGTTAGGTATCGATTGAAGTGGAATTCCTTCTCAAGTTCTAGAGTTTGATAACGAGAGTAAATCTGACGCCCTCGTCGCCTGTCTGACCCGTACCCGACGCCTGTAATAAAAAAAAAAGAAATTTAAAGACAGTTAGGTTATTAAGGTCATTTTTCAAACACTCTAATCCCACACATTTAATCCCAATGCCCATAGCAAAAAAAAAATCAAAAAAAAAAAAAACAACAACTCGCATTTCAACCAATGCTGAAATGCTTTTACGTTTCATATAGCTACTTCTGCCGGCTGGGGAAATCGCAGTCTAGTCTTACACTCGTTTCCTAGTAACAGACAGCATTACCCAACCGTACGAACAGGTACTCGTGGTATGTGCTCTAAGTGTAAACATGTTGTAAATCTTTACTACATGTAGCATTTCGAGGAATAGATACAAATTAATTAATTGGTAAAACTGGTTACAGTACTTTCATTTAAAAAATGCATATTTATTGCACGCGTGGTGTAGACCATACTTTAAAGTGGTCTCCTATACAGACAAAAGGACATTTTTAAGGCAGGAAGGCAGCACAAGAGTTAATGGTTTATGGTGCAGTAAAAAAAGTGTGTGGAGCCCATCGTAAAATAGGTCAGTCTGTATAATTTATCTCATTGAATTGTGACACTTACCACTGTGCGAGTTCATTCTCTGCATCCATGGATATATTTGGATATTTCCTTTCTGTTCCTGTGCTGCCGCGCGGACTTGTTCTAAGCTGCAGTCTTGTCCCTGTGTGTTCAGCCCCACGCCGGTCTGCCCGCAGCTGGGAAGCACATCCTTCTCCTGGTAGAACATGTTGGATCCATATTCGTACGCTCCCCGACTTGATCCAAATACAACGTTGTCTTGAGGCGAATAAAAAGGAGAAGAGTATATCCTGTTTTGGGCCACGGCAGCCCCATATGACGAGAAATGTCTGACGGGGTCATAGGTGGTCGAATTTAAGGGCACGTTAGGTATGACTTCTTGACCACCAGCTAAATGGCATGGGAGCGACGGGTTCGCGAAATACGAATTCATACCTCACCTCGCTCCCTCTCTCCCACGTTCACACCCTTTTTCGTTACCTTTGACTCTCACTTCCTTTCTCTGTTTGTTTATCTTACTCTGGCTGTTTCTGTTGACGCCCGTTTTACGATTCCTTTTTGGTTTTTATTTCAGGGCTACAGCAAAGATTCACTGCCCGAATGTTATAGTAAGGGCTTCGCTCCAAGATGGACAATTTGACAGTGTCAGCTGATCACTTTCCTCCAATTGAAAGAGCGGAGTAGGAAGGAAAACGGAAAAAAAAATTTGGGGGGGTTTATATTTTCCTGAAAGTAACCCTTGCATTTTGAATAAAGCCGAATTCACTTAAAGACAGGAACATGTACAGTGAAATACGTAGAGATATACCTATTTTACTTTTAACATGATGATGTTTTACAGCATACATTATCCATAGTTGGATCTAACGTTTAAATAATTATTAATGAACACATAATACCAAAACTAAACCACTTGCGTACTTAAGTATTTTGCCTTCGTTATTTACAAGAAAAAAATGTTTTTTCATGCTTAAATTATGAAGAAGGAGGATGAGGCAGCCGAGGTAAAGAAAGGGTATGGCACGGATCCCGGACTGTGTTCAGCCTATACATTACCTGCGAATTACCTTTAAGCTCCTTTTGAAATCAATATCCATTGACTGCTGAATCGCAGATTGTAAATAAGGTATAAATAAAGCTCAGTTGCATATAACTGAGAAAATGTTTGTAACAACTTGCCGTTCGCTGTGCCACGTCTGAAGGACAAAACAAATACGGATTCGCATTTAACACACCGACAACAGGAAATCGATGCACAATTAATATATTTTTAGAATTCTTATCCCCTTTACTCTTTTATTTTCATTATGTAAGAATCAACATTTCGTGGTACTTTATTGAGAAATCTACATTAAAGATGCATTTTGTACAATATATTCGCATAGCTCATCTGCGGTTGCAGACGCGTTAGTCGTAAAATAAAACTATAAAAAGTTATTCGGTTTTGTGCAAGAATATAAACAAATACACATCGCAATTTTTAAATGTAGGCCTATTGCAGAAATATTGTAAGCCAGAAACATGTAAATGATACAAAGTTAAGTATATTATCATTTCTTTGTCTCTTTGCGCTGCAAAAATTAATGTAAACATTTCGCGCAATAAAAATAATACAGACATGCAAGTGACTGATCACAGAATATTACATGCCAAACACGCGTTTTTCCTCGGAAAAAGACAGCAAAAAACTACAAAAATAACAAAAGACGGACGGTTATTCTTGGCAAATGTTTTTCAAGTGATAATTAAAGCTGCTTATTTCTGAGAAATAAAAGACGTAACGTAGTGCACTGCTAAATTTCATATGAAATATAGGCCTAATAGCCGTAGCAAAATAAGCAAAAAGCGATATGTTAATATTAAATTGATATTACAACCAGCCGTAAAATAACCATAAAATACCTTTCTGCTGAAAGCCTATAGCCTTTGTGTTGAAATATGTTTCATATCAATTTAAGGGTGCTTATAGTTGCGAGTAAGTTTATAAATACCTATAGTTAATATGAAGCATACAACTTAACGGCGGACGTGGATTGGAAATCGCTGTATGGAAATGCGGTTTGATCTAGAAAGACCGCTGCAGTCAATGGTGTCCAAAACTTGGCCCCAGAATAATATATGCCATATGACAACAACTGTGAAAGAACAAACGGCGTAACTGTGAGGTTAACTAACGCTAAAGTGAGAGGATTAAGTGGTTTGAATCAATGGAATGTACAGCGAAGACTGATGGAGCCAAAATGTGACTGTTATATATATATATGGAATCCGTTACTAACTAATTAATGTATAGATGAATATGGTAATGTGGCTCAATGTCTTTGGCGCGTTTTGTTACTGAGGTCTTCGTACATTTTGGGAGGGATGTGGAATGAGTTTCAAAGAGCAGTCGTATGGAATGCACCAGCGTTCCAAGATTCCTTAGATATTTGAGAGAAGACCCAGGCCAACTCGTCCTTGTTGCTCGTAGGCTAACAAGACGACGTTATAGACGAGTTGTAATTCTGTAAGAAATGTAATAATCGAATATGACAGAAGTCATTAATCACACTTCATAGAGGTGAGCTGAAGGAAAGAAAACAAGAATCTGATACAAAAAAAATCCTCAGTGAATGAACAAATCACTAAACGCTAAAAATGTTCGTTTTACTGAATGGTCGAGATGATATTTGTATTAACTGGTGTTGACTTTCAAACCGCTGATGGAATCCCAAGCAAGATGGAACAGATATAGCAATTACTGTAATCTCTGATCTCCAATCTTGTCACTGGGGCCTGGGTTCAATCATACCCATTTTGTAACCTCTGATTTGTTTGAAATAGATACTTCCTGGGGCTAAAAAATTACTTTTAAAGTGTATTCCCCCTCGTTCCCTCCTACACTTCTTAATACTCTTCATACATCTTCTTGGCTTCCTGGCTCTTACCCGATGCGCTTTCATCTAGGCCTCTGAGCGCTTTCAGATCTTTTACAATCTCTCAAATTGGGGATCCCTCATTTATTGCCCTCGCTTGAGTGCTGTTAATGGTGTTGGTGAAAACGACTTATATATACAACCTAAGTGCAAAACAAGCAGAAGAAAGTGAAACGATGAACAAGCTGAAATATGTTTTATTTGGTGATGCAAGGGTAGAATTATATTTGTCTTAATGATATCGTCAGTATGTGAAGTGATGATGAGAATGGTTTCTCTGGAACTACTACTAATTCCCGCCTCGGAAATGTATTTAGAAACTATAGTTATAAAATATAGTCGTAAATATTAATTCAGTTTTCGATGATTACTTACTACGCAAAAGAGCCTTATCATATTTCAGCATGTATTATTTATTAAATTATTTTCATTTTGCGATTTCATATCCGACAGTCAATCGTACGTTTATTTATCTAACGAGCTTGGTATTTAAATGACAAATAAAGTACAAAGTGTGGTAATACCCTGCTGCTTCCTGGTGTGTAACCACACACACGCAAACGCACACGCGCGCGTGCACATATTCATTTGAACGTTACACGATCAAACGCAGTACAACCTATTCTAAAATAATGAGGAAACCAAGCATTAAAATAAACTCGGGATCTGTCTATTACTATTACAGCTGTTCTCTGTTGTATTAACATACAATTTCCTGTTTCTTGCTCCAGGTATACGGGATGTTTTAAAATATATATCCGCCCAGCGCTGATGGCAGTTTATGTGGATTCTGGTTTGAATCTACGAACTACGAAGCAGGTAATAACAGAACTGTCTCTTCGAGCACCACACCACAAAGCACTGTTGCACTTCAAAATTATTTCCAAATTATGCTGTTATTAAAACAAAGTGCTTGTAAAATGCTTAAATGATTAGGATAGGCACCAGAATATAAGATATTGCTATAAAATAATTCCAAGTTATTTCGGTGCTGGTCAATTAAATTAAATATACTTGTTCTTTTAAAATACCAATTAAGAATCCAAAGAAATAGAACAGAAAGTAACAAAGGACAGGAAATAATATAATGCTTAATGTGTGCGCCATAGTCAAGGCGTTAAGCTGCGTATGTTTGTGTGTTTTAGGATCTATGAAACATTCTACGATGGCTTCCGCCCGTCTCTGAACATCAGCCTTCGCTATTTAAACTTGGAACAGGGCAGTACGGCAGCTCAATGCATATTCCTTGACGTCTTGCTCTGTATTACGTAAATGCTGATCGAGTTTGTGTTTTTAAACATTTCGATTCCGTTAATTTAACTAAAAGTAATTTATGTCTGGCATTTCTGCATATTGCTGTTAGATTTAAAGGCTGATTCTAATCTTACTTCGAAATTCCTATATGTTAAATTAAAAAGAAAAAACAAAGGATTTTACTCATAGCCAAGGATCAACTGAATTATGGCTGAAAGATACGAAAAAGCACACAGCTGTCAATATCAAACGTTAACGCCACATTTATAACAACTAAAATGTATTCTGAAGTAATGCATTGCAATTGTTTTATTAATTGGATTTGTTTCTGTTAAAAAACGGCAACATGTTAGTATGCACGTTTTTCAGCATTTCAGAATTTCCACTTGAAATACTTCATTTGGAGAAGCTCACTATTCATAATAGCCGTGTGTCGTGCACACATAATAATATAAGCCTATTCGTGAGATGAATCAGAGGAGTCACCTACTCCGCTCTTTCATGAATACTTAATGTGTTTATAGTATAAAGCGGGCACTAGGGGGCGGTGTTGACTTCCGTATCCAGATATGGTATAAATTTGCATTTTAGGTGAAAGCGTACACGTACGTGATAACGTATTAAATAATAAAAAAATAATAAAAAACACGACATTTATGAATTGTGCGGCTTACTTCATATACCCCCTAAATTCAAAGATACACAAAAATGTACGGATGTTTAGCGATGCTGATATGACCGACTGAACAAACAGCAATCGTTTTAGCGGACATAACACTAAGGTCTTACAATCATCAGCATATACATCGAAACATTACAGCATTTTCAGAAAGAAAATAACGTTTCAGTTTTACTCTATTCGCGCCAAGCCACTACACGGTATAGTTTCACAAATCCGAACAATGTTTCGGCTTCTCATCCAGAATGCTCAAAGTAATGTCTATTAAATTTTTACTCTTTATTCTTAAACATCTATAACTGGTAAATTAAATTAATGTTTTTTTTTCACAAGTCTGCGTCACCTGGTATGTTACAGTACAGTCCTATTTTCAGAAATATATAGTTTTAGCTTTAATGTCCCTCTTATTCCATAGCAAGTCGTCACACATAATTTCCCGTCACTCTCAGTTTGCTGTTTTAAATTTTTAAGCCAACAACAAAAAGACATTTCTTACGTTTGGTCGTGCTCATGAAATTACAATTATATACAGACGCATATAATTTTAGGTAGGTCATTTTAAAATGTCAGTATCCCTAGCAGCCTTTAAAACAGAAGATACATAGCATATTGGAAACATAAACATCAGACCAACATTTAGCACCCTGACTATAATACTGCCATTATTACTCTTCATTGAGGCCTACAGCTTACTTCACATATTGATATAACCAAATGCTTGCATTACAAGTCTTTGCATTAAGGGTAAAAATGGTACGCGGTTTCTTGAACGTGACAATAAACTCATACTATTGAACTATACACGTACGTGACTTTCAAAATTCCGGGCACGCAATAAAAGAAATTCCAAAGATATGACTCATTCGCTTCGAATCACTTCAGTTTTTCCCTCTACACCATATGGGGTCCCATCTTTGACAGATCTTTTAAAATCTATTACACACAACGGGAAGGTGGGGTGGGAGGAGTAGTTGGAAAAAACCGACTGCAACCGACCTCTCATGGACACGGTCTGTTAGATAAACATCCAAGCCAATGAGGAAGGAAGAATTCGTGTCTTACCCGCGGTCTCTGTGCCGAGCCATTGACGCACTTCTCCTGGTCCAGCAGAAATGCCAGTGGTGGTGAAGGTGAGTTCAGCGGTACATAAAGCATAAAGGCATCCTTTATCTAGCAGGTAATCAAAATGTTCGCGGAAAAACAATTCGAGAGAGTAGTATTTACAACCCGCTGCTCTTTCGGATCCACGTGAGACACAACTAAGCAGTCTCGCCTCTAGGGGTAAATACGAAGCAGAACTGTCATAAAGCTATTGCTGGGTGTTACAAACCGAGTAGCAATCTAGAGAGGGTCCAATACGAAGAACGTTCACGGCAAATCCCTGACCACCAAATAACACAGAAAAGCAATTAAAAATAAGGGCTTTCGTAACCTTTTAGTCGAGTTTCTTTGCTTCCGCTAGCTCTGCAGCCCGACAGAACGTGAGATCCACAGGAAAGACAACAGTATAAAGTTCATGTTCATGGAGGCTGGAGCATGTGACGCGCATCAGCCAATCGCGGAACAGTCTCAGTCGTAAACTTTTATTACTTAGCTGTAAATTTTCGCCCAAACAACTAAGAATGTGTTGCGCACAAATGTCTCTCTCCCTCTATATGTCGATCTCCCGTTACCTCTTTTTTTCCCTCTGCGGTCTTTATTTGAGAATCTTCGTTGGCACACATTATGTTTACCATGCAACTCCAATAAAATGCACGAGGCTACTACATAACTACAGTACAATGATGTTATTACGGTGATTTTTACTTTTGCCTCAGCATCACCCAGTTGGTTACCTAATATTTAAATTTCGATACCAAAAAATATATATATAATAATTACAGGAGTGGTGCTGGTAATAGTAGAATTAGTTTAATCAGTCTTTGTAGCTAGTAGTAACAATTAAGTCAAACCAGTAATTAGTAATTATTTCAACTTCAAACTTCATTTGTACACATGACATTATGGGTGAGAAATAAACCACACAGGAGAATGTTTGTAAGAGCACGGCATCAGCCAGCACTGCAGATATCTCACAACAAAACGGCCCGAACCACATGCAGCCATAACAGAATTTCGCGGCAACATGTGGTAGAAAAATTTAAAGTACTTTCTTTTAACTTTTAAGGATTTTTATTATTTTATTTTTGTTTCAAAATTATTATTTGTATTGTCTAAAACATTTGGATATAATCACCATTAAATAACTACAATGCTTCCTTAAAATATCTTTAAATGAAAACTCGGTCTGTGTAGTTTTTCTTAGTCCCCTGTAAGTATGGTCATATTAAAATGCACAGAGGACATGGATTTATTGTATTGTATGGTACGATTTTTCACGTATGGTCTCAGTTATTGTCACGACGGTCAAATATGCCTTTGCTGCACAATTGCATTACATTTTTAATGAGTTTAATGAGGTTTAGTTCTCTCATCCAAAGGAATTACAATTCAGAATGATTTCATTCTTTCTGTTGTACTATTTGCCGCAATATCAAGACAATTGATTCCCAATTGTAGATTGTCAAACACTACGGCAATACATATATTTATTTATATGACGAGTAGTCCTTTTATACGATATAGGGTTAAATGTTACATACGTTTATTGAGTCTATTTCCTGGTTTGAGTAAGTTGGACGGGGCATTCGTTTAAAAACGCAACATTTACTGTTATTTAATGTTGATAAGAGTAGATTAAGTGTTGTCAGAAAGGTTATATGAAGAAAATATGATTAAAAAAAATAAAACTCACTCTTCTAAATAGAACAGCATAGCCCTCAAGCGTAAATGTACACTGAAATACAATAAGCAACATAGCAGAAACTCCTAAAATATGGACATGTGAATATGAATATGTTAGTATGTCATCAGTGACCCATACATTCAAATTTCACATTACGCATCTGTCAATTAGGCTACTTATCGAACTCACTCCGTGCGAAGCATCACAATACAAACAAATTACAAATAAATTCATTAGTAAACCAGTAAATAGTGAATGTGAGAGGAAGGTAGGATATTATAAACGAAAACAATCATCTTGTATCTTTTAAGTTACGCGAGTTTTGTATGCTGTATCATCAGGGAGAGAATACCAGTTTTTTCCAGATATTATTATCACGCATATTTTTCATAATTTTACAAATTCCATTATTACGGAATTTGTTTCTAAATCAACGAGGCAACATTTAAACAAGATCTGTATTAATTACGAATTAATTTAATAAGACGTTTTGCAGATAGTCGTTTAAACAGACTCTGAACATATATGACTATTACACATTCATCCAAGAAATTTATTTAATAACATGTTATATTATATTATATTATATTATATAAAAAATACATACAATACGCACACGAACTCCAGCAGACTTCGGCCCCAAGGCGTTCGTTGTTTAAAATAATAGGGAAAAAAGATCCGGATACGCAACTGCGGAGTTTACACCGCCAATAAACTTTACTGCTGGTATACTTAAGTCATGACGGGACGTGGTCTCTTTGCGATAGTATAACACCGAACGACAGAAGGCTGGAAAATGCTTCCGGACAATTGTCAGAGCCACAGAAAGTCTCGTTTTATTACTATGTTACCAATAAAGCACTTTCCCCGACGGGACATCTGTAGTAAAATCTCGTTCATAGTAACACACAGACAGAGACTGCCATGGTTCACGTTATAAACTTACATTCACTATTTTTTTTAAACTAACAAAAATATATTTTTTCGTTATGGCCATTAAGCATTTCCATTCCAAACGTTTTCGAAATCAAAATATAAACGTCACCATCAACACCATAATATTATTACTCAACAATTAAATAACAAAACTAATAAAAAAATAATAATTCATCCATACTAACAACAACATTAACGACATCAACAATTAATATTATTGCTGTTGTTGTTTTTGTTATGAGTGTTTCTCTGTTACATTGTGACACTATTATCACCCACTACAATTTCATGCATAAACTATGACTGCCTTGAATTTATACAAAATTATGCATGTGCTTAAGTCAAAAAATGTTGCTGGAAAACCCCTGAAATGCAGCTTGTCCGCTGGGCGCTGCGTGACTCAGGCAGGTTAGGCCTCTGTGTCTGTGACTGCAAGGTCACCAGTTCAAATCCCATTGCTATGACTGTCTCGTGGCAGTTGGGCCCTTCATTAAGGCCCCTAACCCTGCAGAAATGCTCCAAGGTGGCTGGATAAGAGGCTGACCCTGTGCTCAGACCCTAAGCATCACCCTGTGTGTGTGAGTATATGTCTTAAAGGAGAGCAACCTGGGAAATAATTCTAAAGAATAAATTGTAATTTCATTAGACCCAACGAGTACCATCCCAAAAGACAGTATCAGGATATTAAACAAAACCATACTGAGTCAAGACCCCCCTACAGTCCACATTACTTCTACAACCTGTGCTGTGCTTTTGGTGAAGAATGCCCAAATTTAGTGAAAATGTGGTCTGATATGGAGACTGTAATCTACTATAAACAGAAGACCATCCCAAAAATCTTTATTCTTCAGGATTAAAAAATTCAATCCCAAAGCTACTTTGGGATGATTTAGGAATAATACAGTGAAAGTCTTCTGATACATTTCTGACATTATCTTAGAGTCTGTAATGAGATTTGACATTTTATTCATACAGCTACAAAAATGTCTTACTCATTTGTAACCTACAAAAAAATCAATTATCAACACTTCATAAATAATTGTGTTACTTCTGTATAATAATAATAATAATAATGATAATAATAATAATAATAATCATAATTATTATTATTATTATTATTATTATTATTATTATTATTATTATTATATTGGCAAATTCCACCATGGCCATTCGTTCCTGCTTCTAGCCTCTGACATGATTATCTTAATGACTCAAGATGAAAGTATGTAAATTTAGTGAAAAGGAAAGTTTCCTGTTTTTCTGATTATAAAGATAATCTGACTGTAATCCATACAGTCCTGCTTATAGTAATTTCTAAGTATGTCAGAATGTAATTTATTTTGTTACATTGTTATATTGTGGTGAGCCTAGACACACAGCACACAATACAAGGAAGAGGTACATCCAGCATGGGATGTCAATCCATGTATTGGCGTATTAAGTAAGTAAGTAAATAGACAGACAGACAGACAGATAGATAGACAGACAGATAGATAGATAGACAGACAGACAGATAGATAGATAGATAGATAGATAGATAGATAGATAGATAGATAGATAGATAGATAGATAGATATTCCTTGCTATGGACTAGCACCCCGTCATGAATGTACCCGGCCCGTGCCCGATGCTGATTGTTATTGGCTGTAGGTCCTCTCAGGCAGCACTGAGCTGGGGGCTGGGCAGCACCCTGGGTTTGGCACATACACACACATGCGCCAATCAGCAGGAGAAAACCCACGTGACACAGGAGAGCATACAAACGCCACATTTACAGAGCAGAGGTGGGATTTGACACCCTGGGGTTGTGAGGCAACAGTGCTACTCACAAAGCCTCCATACCACCCCCATCGGTATATGTTGTTAATGTGATTTTATCTGAATTATTTATAAATAAAATTCAGTGGTTGGCTTTAGTATCACTTGTGAAGTCTTGGCAATTAAGATTAAAAAACACACATCCGGTATAATCCCAATTCATCAGTGCTCAGTTACATTTAAGGTTTTATATTTTATTCTATTTTTAATCCAAAGCGATTTACAGTAGGGCGAATGGTTACAGATTGAGTGTGCTCCATGGGATTCTGTTTTTAATAAAAAAGTAATGCTACAACAAACATAACATTGGCGGTACGTTATTACTTACATAACTAAAGACATAAGTAAAGCTGAATTTGCTAGAGAAACGTGCTTCTTCTGCATGCATGGAAGTCAAGTATTAACTCAGCGACCATTTCATACTCCGGGAGGGTCATCCGCCCATATGTGAGCGGCACCGTGAATATTTCCTCCTTTTCAATCTAAGGCTACAGAAACGCATTTTGAAATGCACTGTGAATGTCACTATAAATTAACAAAAATAATGCAGCTGTTTGGTCAACTAATGTGCTTAGAAAGTATAATTTGTTTCAGTTGATACATTTTTTAGTTTTTAACACAATGAGTTGATACAACATTACGAAAACAATAAAGAGTTTGATGAAAGCGCACGCTCAATTTAAGTGAAGATCAAGGAACAAGGTGTAACTTTGGGATTATAACATTTATAATGTCGTATTTTAAATGCAATGCAGTATATTATATGGTAGCAGGTGTATATAGCATATAACAGCAAAATATGGGCAGACATCAAAAATCGCTTTTTGATATGATTTGCGTGACGCAGAAGTGGATCCAAATGATGACTATTGCCCGTCTTTTAACAATAGGTCGAAAACAAACCTGTTATTTATGTAGTTGACTTCAAAGCTTTGGAGGTGTTAAAACATTAGTCTTTTATTATACTTTGCTAAGATGAATACCCAGGACACTTACAAACACCCTGTAAACATGAATTCTCGTACAATTGGCATGATACGTATCGAAAGAGCTGTCAGTGGCCATGATTTTCTATGAAACGGCATCGGTATTTGTGAACGTGAAGTCGAACTGACCGACTTTTTCCATGAAATTGCAACGTGAAATTGCTTGTTCAGTCTGTGGTAATATTGCCCATTTGTGAATTGGGCGAGATCAACAAACCCTTTTCTGGGAACCTCAGACAGTATCAGCAAAATGCTGGATTCACGAAGCATCTCAGACTCTTTTCAAACAAACCTAAATACTATGACTGTGTTTTTCTTTTTATTAATGAGTTACTGTAAATTGGATAAAGTGGGCGACTCAGCGGAATCTTTTATATTGTGTTCAGAAAATCAACCTTTTCTCGGTATTTTTTCATTGTATTTTTTTTTTCATTTATTCATTAGTGATAAAGAGAAAGTTGGAATGATAAGAAACAAAACTAATTACAATAATTACAAAAAAATAGCAGTTGTGAAGGGCTAACATTGAGAATTTTCTGTGCCGCTGTCTTTTTGGTGCATGCATGCTTTTGTAAGTGTGGTGTCGCGCCTTTAAAACACTGGCCGGAAAATGTTAATCTATCATATACATCATTGTTTGTTTAATGAAATGAATACAACTGAAAATGGGAAGTAATTTATTTATTAGTGTTGTCGCAACAACAATCGTTTGGTAACACAAAACAATAAAAACAACATAAGAAAACAAGCACATTGTTAACAGCTATAAATACCAATACTATCTTGCAGGTTATATCAGTGCAATCTGAAATCTAGCCTAGAACATCGTCACAATGAAGTACCTGACACACCAAATTCAAAGTAGTATTCATGATAATCTACACAGCAATGTGCGCGGTGTCATTAGGCAGTTAAAGTTGTTGGGGGGAAAATGAAACATTTTTAAGCAGCCCGTTCTATTATTATTATTATTATTATTATGATAATTGTTGTTGTTGTTGGTTATGCTGTTATTATTATTATTTTTATTGTTGTTGTTGTTGGTTGTGCTATTATTATTGTTGTTGTTGGTTATGCTGTTGTTATTATTATTATTATTATTATTGTTGTTGTTGTTCTTATTGCATACAATTGGCCTCAATATAAGGAACTCCTGCGCAATATCAGTTGATTTACGGTAGCTGGCTTAAAGCGCACGTTCATCTATTGCTCATGGATCCTACAAAGCAGCTATTGGGCTTCATACTAACAGAGAAAACAAACACTCTGAAATTACTCTCTTAAAAATGTATTGCAATTGTCCCAGTTAGGTAGCATATTTAGGCTGTTTTCAGACGATTGTATTTCCCTTTAAATAAGCTATAAAAAAATGACAATGACATCCCCAGTACTACCGACCACGAATTAAACTCTGTTTAATAAAAAATACCTAATGCGTGTTTGAGCTTACAGAAGACTTTACTAATACGTATCACTTTATACAGGATCACAATGAATGAAGCCTTGTCCGCAACGAAATAATACTTGACAGTCAACTGGGTTTCATTTAATGCATTTCAGAAATATATGTAGGGCCTAAGTTTTATACTTTAGATGCTGGGTTTGAATTTAGTTTCAGAATTTGGTTCTCCTATTTTATGCTAATTTGAAACTTAGCCCAGTTCTATTTGGTCTTAATTGATTCTAAGAATTAAGCATATGATTTAGCTACAACAATACGTGCTTCTTAGGTAATCATATTTAATTAATTTATTAAAATTTTCTTCGCTCTGACCGATTTAGAAGCAAGACATATTCATAATTCACGTCCGTTGTTCACCGGCCCAACGTTCTGTTGCCAACAGAATATATATGCATATATATTTTAAAAAGAAAACATAGATATTTTCTTGCATTTTCTTAAACAGAAAACGTTGGTTTTATTTCAAAACCAGATGAGCTATTCTACTGCGTCTACTGCATGTTTATTCCCATCATGAAGATAGGCCAGAAGGAAGAAGTGCTTTTGACAGTTTGTAGGATTTTCTCACTTATTGACTCAATAAAACTGTAGTCATAAAGTTTATATCGTCGGCCTTTCCTGTTCATCGTCCCATTCACACAGTGTTTTTTTCTTTCGGAGTCGTATAGTCGTAAAAAGGCCATTAAATTACTCCTTGGTCTCTGCTTCCTCTACCGGTTCCTTCTCTTCTCCTTCATCCACTTCGCCGTCCTCGTTCGCATCCTCTTCGGCCTCTGTTCTCTGGCCTGGAAACTTATCTTTGTTATTTTCCTTCTTCCACTTCATCCGTCGATTCTGAAACCAAATCTTTACCTGTCTCTCAGTTAAGCCGAGGGCATGGGACACCTCAATCCGTCGTTTGCGTGTCAGGTAAGGGTTGAAAAGGAACTCCTTCTCCAGTTCCAACGTCTGATATCGACTGTAGGTCTGTCGTCCGCTGCGCCTTCCAGGTGCTTTAAAGTGAAAGATGTATTTGTGCGTTTACAATTGTGAGGTGAAACATATTCATGAGCAGGTTATGTGAGATGCATATTAACGTATAATGTATGTTCCGCGGCACAGTACTTAATGGCCGCTTATAATTTTCAACAACAGCGACAGGGAAACAGTTATTAACGAATGAAATGGACAGATTGCAGCTTCAATAAACAAGGAAAATGTAAACGCATACGTCACGAAAATTAACGTGTAACGTAAACATACAAACGCAAGCACCCAGTGCTTAAAACAGTCTAATTGAATATTTGGGCTATGCGCTGACTGTTGTGGTTTTGTGGGATTATAGGCAAACTTAAGGCGATATGGTGGCGAGATGTAATTTTACTCAGTCATTTGCAATTTTTTTTTTTTTTCAATGAGTGTTTATATCATAGCGGTTTCATTTAACAGAGACTTTAATTATCAAGCCTAAACTCGACTAGGGCTTCTTACACGTCTTTCACCAAGAATGACCTTCTATGGGATGAATGAACGGATGTATGATATAGATTTTCTATGCAGAATGCGTGGCCGTATTCTTTATCTGCTAGAAGACAAAGAAACGAATTCTGTCTAAAATAAGAATCTCACGGCCAGGTTCAATCATTATGAAATCGGTTGTTAGATTTCACAATCGGCAGGCTTTCGACTGCTTCATATTCGTGTGTTTAATCTCTAAAAACTGGCAGTGCCCAGCAAGGCATAAGAAAAGGAAGCTTTTAAAATATAAGGCATTTAAAGTGTTCTAATTTAACCATAACCTGAAATGCAGTTGCCCATTTAACGTTACCCTGCTTCGTTTCCTCTTTGTCTTTGCAGGGGTGTTCCTACAACCCAGACTAACTACCGAAAACCACGCTGTTGCCAGATGAATGGACCTCACTTTTCCACTGTGAAAGTGATACAGGAGATCTGGATGGAAACATCAATTAAAATAGAAATTTAGGCTACTGGTGACTAAAGATCACCAGTGTTTTGTTCCGATAGTGTTTTATTTATTCGGAAAAGCTAAATTTGAATTCCAAATGTTCAACGTGTTTTAACAAAGAAAATATGGTTAAAGAGATTTAACAAACGACCCAATGACTACGTTTCTTTTCGCCGCCGCTATTTTTCCTATATGTCTTTATCTCACACAACACAGATGGACAGGAGAAAACAATAACACAAAAGAATTCTAACCGTGGGGTCTCATCCAAGGAAACATGAGACTGGGAGACGAGTTTTGATTTAAGTGGCCTTGTCCTTCTCCGGGGTTACTGCCATTAGACGATTTACAGTCTGGGTATTGCGTTAAGCTCGCCTCTTGCTGGGTTCCATAAAGTGATTGCCTCGGAAGGGCTTCGTATCCATAAAATTTCGTGGCGTCTCCGTGGCAAGCTAAAGCACAGGGATTCTGTTGGTATCCGGTGCTGGAGATTCCCGATGTCCCGTGGTGGAAAAAATCCTGGACGTGATGGGGAGGGTGTTGAAAAGCCGGTGTTGGCGCTCCGGGTCCGTACACCAGTGTGTGGCCACGGGTGACGCTTTGAGGGAACCGGCAGTCGTAGTAAGTTGGCTCCAGCGTTTCGCCGCCTTTGTACTTGGAGAAAAGAGGGTTAACGAAATAGGAACTCATGTTCTGTTTGCATTAAAAGAGGCTGGTATGTCTTTCCGGTAGTAAATTTATTTTAAAGTTATTTCCCAAATTTCACACACACCAAAGACACATCAACCGGAGCCAGAAGGCAAATCGCTGGTTGTTTAGACAATCTCAGATGACTGCCTGTTTTCACTCTCTCTCTTCTCTCACGCGAGCCTCCCTGTGTCTCCTTATTCACTGTTTGCGGTCTTAGAACCGACACACGGCGTGCTGGGTTGATGTGTGTTACGGTCAGAGCTGGCTAGCTCCGGCGGCAGAGTCACACGCGCTCAGTTTTTTTTTTTCTGCTCCCTACCCAACCACCCTTCACTACATTGACCCCCGCCTCCGCTCGTCTCTACACCAACCTTCATCTGCCCCCCCCTGGCTTCTTGCACACTAGTGTAGTAAGGCATCTACCTTCAAAAACACGGCAGTTATAGTATGCGGGAGAAGTGAAAATACATTAATACAAATTCAAAAACGGCGTTGAATACACACATACACCCAGAAAGAATGAATGAATAAAAAATTGCAGTCGACTATCAGGTTTAAAAAATAATTAACGTCAATTTACTCCAGGAGCTGAGTAAAACATGCAGGTATGCATTGTCCTACACCGTCCGTACACCTGCCGTTGCTGACCCGAGTCTGTTGAGTTGCGCGAAAGAGTAGTAAATCAGGAGTGAGGAGTTAATAAAAGTACAGATTACATCCCTCGTTACTTCAATTGACACGTTAATGTTCCCGTGTTTTATTTAGCTACGCCTGATGTAGGCCGCGGCCTAACTGACTCGTATGAGTTCTCTGGCGGTACTGACGATTTTTACACATCATCGTGAAATACGAGAGAAGGCCCACTAAAATTTATAGACATCAATGGATATCCAGGTTGGATATTAAAACAATACATAATCTAGCAATAACAAAATCCTTAGTGTTTTAAACATCATATGTGCATACGTTTTTTATTTAAACAATTTATAGCATACTATTCATTTAGAATATTGGCACAATTGTTTATTAGAGGTTTGTCCACTATAAAAGTTATGCAGAACTTATTGGAATGAAATATATAATTAGGAACATGGTGGGTAAAGAAGACTAAATCGTTTCCAAAATTATATTTTACAATCCAACCACAACGGTATTATACATAGTATTTAACTGCAATATTACTGAATCTACGTTATGGTCTAGGTTTTTTTTTTTTTTTGTGAAACGGTCTTTATGACTTCTTACGCATTGAATAATTATCGGAATAAATAATGTAATCTAAACATTCAAAATCAAACCATAGTTAGACTACCACGGGAAATTACGTGGTTGTGTTGCAACTCGATCATGCACATTACCAATGTGAACAATTGTAGTTAAAACAATATAACAACATATATTTTTAAAACTCGTTGGATGCCGTAAAATGCCCGTAAGACATTAAAGCAGTAAATTATGGAAGAATTTCAGCTACGCAGGCAGGGCGATTTGAAATCTGTGAGCCAATAGCGACATCTAGTGCTTCTGCAAAAATCTAGCTGGCGAGTTTTGGATTCTGAAATGGTAAGAAAACAATAGAAACTGATTCCACACCCACCGCTTCTTATCGAGGTATGGCTATTTCGATTTACAAGCTTTATTGGTGCAGTTCATACATTTAAATAAAAATAATAACATTAACTAACAAGTTAAACGCATTATTTGGCATATAGGTTCAGATTTAATTATGTCGGACTTTCTGTTGAATTAACACAACCCACTTTAGAATCATCTTGCAGTACTGCATCCGGTTGAGCGGTTTTAAACGCGCAAAGAGCAATTATGGCCTTTCAAGTTTACTGCTTCTTTCCTCCACGGAAGTATGCAGCCCTCTGAACACCGTTTTCAGAATGAAAGTGCATTGAAACTCCCGATATTTTTAGCGGGGCTACAGACAAAACAATCTCAATAACTCCCTTTGAAGCAGTTGGCCATCGACGTCCATTAAAGCCATAAAGCAATTTAAGCCAGACGTCTAGCCAGTTCGCAGGACTCTCTTTTGTTTGGTTACATTTGAAACAAACACCGCGAGCCCAACCAGGGCTGTAAAACCTGCATTTTTGTCCTGAGCTGCGGAAATATCGCACTGGATTGCGCCTTAAAAGATCTGTATCCTGTCAGTTTTGTTTACCACCACAAAGGGCTATTTTATCTTAGACATACTGTTTCACATAACACCTAAGTCCTAAGGCATGCAAAGGAGCGACTCTTTTTCGTTTTTATTTTCTTAATTGCGACGCTACCCCTATATATGATAAGTAGCATTAAGTGTAGGTGTAATCGGAATATCTTAGCGACAATATTAATGTGTCTGTGTGCAACCTATATAATATATATCTGTATATTTATATATAAATACTTCATACAATTTAAGAATTAAATAATGCCATTTTGGGAATTGTCGGTTAAATACAACAATGAGCAGGCTTGAATAGCATCCATTGAAAATACGTAGGCCTACACATATGAATAATATTAATTGTCAGTTTCAATACAATAAAAATGAGTGGTAAAATCTTAATGTATGCATCTTTCTACAGCTATATTATTCTGGATTTTTCGCTTACGCAGATTTCATTAAAATAATATTCCCTGATACCCGTCCCACGTGACTAACAGCAGATCAGAATAAACTACTTCAATTACCTCTGCTCAGAAGACGATCGCAAATATGAAATTCATTTAAAAATTGTAGGCAGTTTTGTTCTTAGATACATGCTGCCTCAATGTAAAAATTACGAGTGGTCCTTATACTGGATCTCTAGCTCAATGGAATTCTTACCAAAATTCATACACCACGTTTTCCCCCTCATACAGTCATCATCCACCTTCAAAGGTCCCAGATATTTGGATTTTAATTAGGACACCTTTGCGTGTCATATTATCCTTAACTTTCGTTTTTCAATTAGGCCTATGCCATGAAAGCCAGCTAACGCTTTGTAAGGAAGACCATCAAACGTGCAAGGTGATATTGTATATATTTCAATGTAGCTACATTCTACAACAGGTTATAACTTTACGGATTTGAAGTAATGTAAAAATACACGAATAAGTACATCAAAACTATTATAATACCACACAAATACATACACAGACACGTTGATATCTTTTTTGACATATGAAGAACGTCATAAGTTACAAAGTAAAATAAAAAAAATTCAAGTACTTTCGCTGTTCACTAGTAAATAGGCCTATTTCAGTCATTGTCCTTTTAAGTACAATTCCGCCATCAAAGGAAATTAATCGCCTCAACACAACTGTGGTGTTATTCTAAGGAACACTAAATATTAAACAATGTCGCATGATGGACAGTATCCAAAAAAGAGAATATAATAAAACATCATAAAATGTTTCGCAAACTAAAAATCAAACTAATTTTCACAAAATGGCCTAACGCTTTCTGTCTGTGCTGTTTTCTCGGGAGTTGTAGGGTAAATTGCTCAATCTGAATTCCAATTCTTGTTTATGTTTCCCATTTATGTTGATCAATTGCACACTACTGTCCTTTGCTGTCGCTCTTTTCTTTGTTCATTTTCTTCATTTTCATCCGTCGATTCTGGAACCATATTTTAACCTGTCGCTCCGTCAGGTTTAGGACTCGCGCAACCTCATATCGACGGTCCCTTGTAAGGTACATATTGAACAAGAACTCCTTTTCAAGCTCCAAAGTTTGATATTTGGTGTAAGGACATCGCTTCTTCCGTGTGGAGCGCGCGTGGATCCAATTCGCCACAGGGTTATCTGAAAACCGAATAACAAAAATACTTACTGTTTTGAAGACCAGTAATTACTGAAAATTTTACCATGTCATATGGGAAGTGATGCGATATGACATACATGATTGGGTCTCTTAACAGAATATGCCCCTTTTTAATAGTTAATTTAAATATGTGTCGTCAAATACAGTCTATGTATGTATTTTTATAATAATTGGAATAAATTGATCATTTGGAGCGATTTGCTTTTTAAGACCGCTGAGTGCTTAAGAGGAATGTTGTCGTAAAATTGTGAATGCGCCCCTTCATTTTATAGGCCCATAAACGGACGGAAGCTCCTTTCGCTTTCTGCATGAAGTCAGAAAATCACACACTGACTGCCGAAATTCCCAAGTCGTGTTCTGGAGAATTGTTTTGCTCATTCTGTGCTAACATGATGTATATTTAAGAAAATATTACAGTCATATTTAATGGACGTAATATGCGCACGTGACGGTGTCATTTTTATAGTCTGTTACTTTATCAAATATACCATTCTTCAGACAACGTAATAAAATATATATTCCTCCCATGACAAAAGTATATCTGCTATATTAGGCATAGAGTTGAATAAGGAATGTAGGCCTATTATTACCTTATCATACTTGTTCATTTCTTCGTCAGTAACCATTTAAATTAAGTCGATAATACAAATTTTAAATAAATTAGGCCTAATACATCCACGCTTTATCCTTGACTGCGAATAATAATGATATTAATAATAAAAATAATATAGCTATAACGAAGATATTGCAAAACATAAAAGAAACAAAACAAAGAAACAGTGATAAGTATGGTATATAGTAAACAAGACGATTTGTGTAACCCCACCTTGTCATTAAATTGCCCCTTTTTTGAGTACGCAGTTTTTATAACCCGTCTCCTACTTTACAACCTTAAACAGCCGTGATTTGTCCCGTTCAGTAGTAACCCCGTGTGAGGAAGGATTTCAGCAGTAATTAAACGCTTTTAAAAATGATACTAAGGAAGATCATTTCTTTTTTTATGAAGAATGACAGTCAACCTCCAAATAAATGCAATAGCAATTATATAAGAAGCACGGCTTCAATACCATGCAGTAAACTTCAACTTACTTGGATCTAATTCGGACTTGTCGTCTTTGTGCTTGTCTGGAGCCAAAACCTCGGATTCCGGAGAAGGGACGTTCTGCGGCGTCTTATCACGAATTTCAGAAGAAGAGCTGTACAGATAATCCGAATATCCGCGTCCATTGGATCCCAAGCATTCACCGACTCTGCGCTCCGGGAAGGCGTCAGGTTTCAGCCCGTAGTGTCTGCTGTTTGCTGGATAGCCTGGGAAGGACACGGTACCAGAGACCGGCTCCAGCCAGGAGCGTATATATCTGGAATCCGTTCCTAAGTGAGGCTGGTGGGTGTATGGGTGATAGACCACTGAGGACTGTGAGTGAACTGGGGCCCAAGACGTGGTAAAAACGGAAGGTTTAGGGGTAAAGCTGCAGGAAGGAAAATCGGCACACTCCGGTACTATGGGCGTCGGACGGGAGCCGGAGGAAAGCGATCCAGCAGTGGAGAATCGAGTCGCCAGGACCTCGTCGTTTTCATGGTTTATCAAGGAATCCACATAATAATTACTTATGGGACCAGTGGTCGACATGACGAACCTCCCCGTCTCTTTTACATGCATCCGATTATTATATGGAGTGTATGTGTACTTTTTTATCTGCCCATTGAACAATCAAGCCAGGTAATTATTTCTACAAGTCTTTCTAGCTGCCATTGGTTGTTTGTACCACACGTGATTATAGTTACCCCCCTCCCTCCCCAAAACTGCTTGTTGGATCAATGCGCCATCCTTTTCTGGAATAGCAATGCACTTCGGGAATTCAGATCTATAATTTAGCGCTGTACTATTACGTGGCAGAACTTTAATATTAAAATGATACATAACCTTCCCCGGTGTTTAATAATAAAACAGAAACACCATAGAGATCCGTATCACCGTATCGCAGAAAGAGGTACGTTGGCAGCCACCTATACGGACTATTTGCTGATGTAATTAGTTTGTCTCCATAGAAAACTATTGCGCTCAACTGAGCAAAATGCGCATTTTCCGAGCTGTAATAAATATAAAAAGTTAAACCGGTTAAAATGTGATTTTGTTCTGCAGTTTCTCAGCCTTTTTGTTTTTAAAGGTTCTTCTGAAAAACAGCGGGTGGTTTTATACAAAGGTCTTATGGACAGCAAAACAAGGTTACATGCCTTATTGAAATAATCTGTCTTGTAAACCGATGTTTAAAAATCGGAAAGGTGGGAATAGTAACTCGCTTGAAAACTTGCCTGCTGAAGTGGCTATATTCTGCAAGTGGTCTCGCATTGGTTTTATGTCTCCCAATAAATTTTTATGGGACCATTTGATTGTTCATAAACGTGTCGTTAATAACAACTGAAGTCGAGTTGGTGCTATAGTATAAAATCAACACAATACTTGTGGAACACGTCTGTCATCAACTGGAAAACACGTGAAAGGGAAAATAACAGGAATGAACTGAGTTTAAAATTTATATTAGACGAACACAGTGGAGAGAAAGATGCACGCGGTGAACAATGAGGATGTATTATTACCGGGACACTTACTGAATGCAGGAAAAATCGGAAAGAATAGTCAACGATTCAGTTTTAAATTGAAGAATCGCTTCAGTCTTGGATTAAGCATTTTTGACGCTGAGTATCTATAGTAGGTCTAAGTATGAATGAAACTAGGACAGCTTTAGGACCTCAGTCCCTGGGCCTATCTGAGCACGTTCAAACCGATGAAAAACTCAAGCGCATGTGTTACATTTCCCAGGAAAGTGTGTATGTGATTGTGCACTTGTATTATGTGTGCTGACATTTTAGATGTAAGCCTTGGTTTTCTGGTGCGTTGCACGCCATGATAATGCGGAGAACATAATGCAGCCTCGCGGTTAATTCAAATAGGAGTTGAATGTCATATATACGGCAGTCTTAAGATGTGGAATTTACTACAAGCTTACATTTATTAATTTTGCTTGTTAAATGTTATACAGCTTAACAGTAACTGTACTGAACGGGCTGCTGCACTGTATACTAGCCAACTTAAGCAGGTATATCAAATCTACTAAAATTTCTTGCAGTTGTCAAAAGAGGCAGTAGGAACCTATTGGACCCACTTTCGTGGAGTTATTGTCGGTTCCAGGCCGGCCTTTCCGCCTGCTTGGTGGCATTGAAGCTTATTTATTAACCGTACTCGGTAGGAGACAATCCGATAAATTAATAAAAGTATTTTCTGAGAATGTCTGCGCTCTGCATTTCCGGTATGATTATTTTAGTTTGTTAAGGCAACAGGCACATCGCTTTCCTGCACCAAAAGCATTCTGCACGCATGAATGTACTTAATGTCCGCACTTCTGCAATTAAATAGATCTAAAGTTAAGTAAAATACTCCATCAATGCGCAATGGTATCATGGCAAATACTACGCTCTGCTGCTGTTACTTTTCTTTGAACGATATTTTTGTTAATGGTTTGGTGTTGAATTAGAAAAAGGAAAATGATTTTTCTCATTTAACAAATGTTGCCCTGTCAATCAATTGGAAGACATAGCCCTTTGACATATTTCTGTAGTGTAAAATGTTTTTAACCATAACTACAATTATGAAGTTTTAAAAATTTGACGTTATGACGATGGCTACTGCTTTTCTTTCATATTCAAAATCTGTGGATGGAATCACGAATTTTCTGCAAAATATGTTGTGATTTATATGCCATAATGCTCATGGTTCGTTAGTAGTGAGGTTGCAAATGAAGGAGACGATGATTTAGCGCTCTGATGGAACGCCCCCGTAGTTTTTAAATGAAGTAAATCCATTAAAATCATTTTGACACTTCACTGGTTGCTATCAAAAACAGAGTCAAGTTCATTTATGCTTTTGCATCCGGAAAGCAGACGAAATAAATACAACACGCTGGCACTGAAACTTTAATTAACGTTTCCGTAAAATACTCCATCCGCAGTGGGTTCACTTCGGCATAGGCTGCATATCTATTCCATGTGGCTTCGTTGTGTTGATAGGCTTTGGAATTAAGTAGGCTACGTAGAACGGGGTTTATGTGTCATTTTGTGAGCTGTGAAAGCGTAAATGGAAACCATTATATTAAGCGGATTTATTTATTAAAAAGAAACCCATTCTCCATGTCACCGATGGAGATTTTTTCATTATTATTATTATTATTATTATTATTATTATTATTATTAGTAGTAGTATTATTTACCTTAAATAGCAATAAAGCGATCTTACGAATTAGGGTAAATTTTGGTGCTCTTGAGCATGATTTTCTAATATGTGCTTACTGTCTGTATAATAATTAGTTTATTGCTGACTCTATTTAGATAAATGCCGTATTGAACAGGAGATTTTGTAGCCTGCCTATAAGACACAACTTCAAACGTCGGAAATTGCTGAAACGATGCGACTACATTTTTGAAATTGATACTGCGTGTGCATCTATCACCTGGTGAAAAGTTACTCGCTATGTATAGAAACGCTAGCCCTACACATGTATGTGAACACCAGTACATACCAGTCCATAGTTAAATTAAATGCTGGATGTGCTGGAAGTGCTAATTCGACTTTACAATACAGTAACACTTACATTTGAAGTGTAGACATAAAACATAACGTCAGACAAATAATTATATCAATGTGTGCGACGCTGTGCTAGAATAATAACGTTTATATTTAAGATATTTTTTCAAACGCTACGAACCTTGACTTGCTGGGGAACTCAGGGATTAAGGCCATAGGTTACCTGAAGCTACACCATTAATTGAAGCTCAAAAAAAAGAGACTAAGCCGCGACAATTTGTAGCCTTTACAAGGAGCAAACCTACATGCAGGTCTGCAGCTTTCCTCTGTTTTGAACTTGCTCTTGTATTTGTCAGGAAGCACTTAAACATTTTGAGATCGGAAGAAGTATTTTAAATGTACAGTTTTCGCATTAGGATACATTTGAACTGGTATTTTAGTAACATATTGTTCAAATAACGATTTCTTAGTGACTATTAACGACTTATTATGTGAAATGTTGTCATCTTCATTTATGTAGAATATACAAACTTGTATCTAACCAGTTGCTTAGACATGTAATTATTGTCATTGTATCACTGGTAATACTGGTAATAATAATAAAATATTATGCATTTGTGTAAGAATTCAAATTAGCACCTTTGCGAACGGTGTTATCAGAAATAGACATATTTATGTTACCGATAAGGAATATTTCGTAAATGCTCATTTCTACTTCAATTGCACATTTTGATTTAGCTGAATTATATTGCGCATCACTGCCACCTACGTGCCATATCTTAAATTAGCACTTAAATACTAGCTATCTACGTCTTCACGTCACGTGATACACCTTACAATATTATTATATATTCCTTTAAATCAGGGAGTATAAATGTAAGCTGAATGTTGCACTGTTTATAAACTGGCGACCCTATCAGTGGCTTAGGTGTCCTACAATTGTATGAATATTACACTGTGACGTACACAAACTGTAAGTTAAGCTCTTTTCCCTTTTTTGGTAAACTCCGTGAGGTATACTGTTCCTAGTGTCAATTCTCCATTATCCTTGTATTTATTTGCCAAACTACTTTTATTGACAGTATTTCTGAAGTGTGATTTCTCTGTAAAAAAAAAAAGGCACACATATTAAGTCCTATTAAATTTTTAGGCCTATTAAAATTATAAATAAATAAATAAATCAGTAAAGTACTTTCGGCATTAAGTATTTCGCGTCATACGACCGCCCATCGAATGCAACAAGGTAACAAACATTATTAGAGTTATACTGTGTAATTGTTAATATATAAAAGGATGCAAATAAGAGTCGACAACACTATCACCGCATCTCTGTCAGTGTTTGTCGATTTCGCCTGTTGAATTTGTTGCTGGAATGTGGAAATAAACTATAAGTTTCATTTAAAAACTATGAGGACACCATATTGCAATGTGGACTAGTAACAACATTATTTTATGCGTGAGAAAGATTTTGTTTATTAATCGGTGTCTCCATTTCGTAGAAAAATGCCGATAATGAAATGCTTATTGTATATCCTGAATAAGAACATCCATCGATATCTGTCGTTGTATTTTATTAATGCTTGAGGTAGAAAGGTGTTTTGCTTATTTTAAACATGTTCAGTCGCATTTTTTCGTATTGTTATTAAAAATATGTAAAATTTACAAAGATGTAAATTGAAATGGCTGGACATTAAGGAGAATAACTGGTGCATCGAGAAGCAAATAATGCTTCTATTTCAAATAAGTTACTCCAGTGCCTTATATTTCATGTGCTGTGGTAAGTTCAGTACGTACTGATAGCGTCACGTCAGAAACGTCTGCAATACAGCACTTAAAATCTAACACCACAGCAATGTGGTGCAAATGCTCATAAATGGCATGGCTAATTAGCAATTTTTTAAAAGGAAAGAAAATAAGTAAAACGTAACAGAAGGAGCACATAACTAACACAAAACCATAAGTAAACATTAACACCGCTCAACAATATATTGGACTTTGCTGTTAACACTTGGTTAATTTTAGCAGGTCGAGAAAGAAAACTGAAAGGAAGTGTCGCGACCGAATTTGCACATATATTTAAATAATTCATTTTAAAACATATCAACTAGTCATAATATTTAATAATCTTCAAAACGGGCTACAATCGATCACCATTTCCCTAACTGCTTGCTCATGTGAGGGTAGAGCTGCATATATTTCTTAATTCGTCATTTTTATTTTGTCAGTCTGACGATTGTTGTACGGCTGATGAATTATAGTGAGTGCTTATGGAAATGCGTTAGGACACGTACAGAACTGTGAAAATACAAAACCTTCGAGAGTGCAGGCGGGCTGGTAGCCGAAAAAGCTAACGCCGTTGTCGTCTCGCTGTAGCTTGCACCTTTCAGTATAGTGCTGATAATTAAAAATCAATTTAAGTAAATATTTAGGGGAAATTCATCCATTTGAAATATTGCGACTTAAACAATATATGATGAAATCGTCACATGGTAGTTTGAATGATAGTAACGCAGGGTATAAGTTAGGTATATATTAATTTCCTATAAATGTATATATCATGTATTGAAATAGGAATGCACTAGTCTAGCTAGTTTACCTGTGTCGCCGGATGCAGGCAACCATCAAAGAAACACTGCAGTGACGACCTGGTTATTCTTCTAGTGTTGCTGCTAATCGTTCTGGAGCAACTGCTGCTAACAAAACTTTTGCATTAATCTTTACTTATATTCATCCGTACAATACACCTCTAGCGCAACAAGCGTGCAAGCGTGAATAGTGGAATGGTTTGCAGTTTTATTCAGACCCGTTCATTTCTTTTAGATCTCGGTAGGTAATTATTACCGGTGATATAAAATGTGGGAAACAGCCGCGGAGTAGAATCCGCCTGTCTTCCTCCGGATGCTCCGTGTTATCTGGCGGGGGCGGGAGTCATCTCGCGTGCTGTAAACCCTTTGTTAGTAAGGCATTCTGGCGCGAATTACTATTCACTCCAGCTGAATGAAAGTGACTTTGGATTCCAGACCGCTGTCCCCTTTAGTCGCGCCAAGGCAAGGGAGGGGGTTCCGCGGCAGCAATCGAAATGAAGGGGAAACAGATACATGCCATTCCGGTAATGGTCAAATGAACCGGGATTGTATTTCATAAAGAAGAACAAAAATGAGCAGGTCCAACTGCAATTCAACATAATACATTAACTTACAATTACGGACAAAGAACTTCTTTTCCCGATTTTCCATCGTTCCCCACTGTCTGTCATGTATTTATATGACAGTACATATACAGCCATGCCCAAATATGTATGTATTTACAATCCTTATAGAACGCGTAACCTTCGCAAGTTATTAGTAAAAATTACAAGTAAACTACAATGATTAATTACAGATTGATAAATTAAATATATTATTACTTAATTGGAGGAATATTTCAGAGTTTTGCACCCTGCTTTTGATAGTGAAGAATGCGCAACCACCACGATTTTATTGGTTAAATGAGAAAGGCCCAGGTGTATCAAAACATATTATAATAATATCGAACAAGAAGAATATTTAGATTATCTGCCTGATTCCTCTGGAAAAAAGATAAAAAATATTCGTTTTATAGCATCCCCACTTAGGCCTATACCGTTTTTAGGCGTATTCTAATATCGTGAACATACTATATTAGTAATACAGTTCAGTACGACGAAGAAGTAGAACACCGTTAAACACCATAAGAACTTTTAAACCACATAGCCTATTATATAAGTTAATATTTTAATCTTTAGTTTTAAAGAATCCATGAATTTATTGAGTTGCCTAACAGAGTTCCAGAAACATCGAATGGCCTTTAGTAATTCATCAACTTATTCAGCAAAAACATGAATTAGGCATCGAAATAAAAGTGTTGCACTTTTGCCGTGATCTTTTAGTACGCTCAATACTGTTGCAAAGGGGACTGGATTGGATGTTCTAGATTGCGTCATTTTGAAACTAATGTTGTCATTTCAGGACGTTAGCCTGTCACACTGTTTTGAATCACTTTGGTAATTGAGGTTTGTCGGTGGATTGCTGCCCAGTGTTTCAATCATCACAATAATCATGCACCATTTTCACCCCACAATTACAATGCATATAGATCCACTCGAAACTTACCATGCAGGTAACGATGAGCAATGGCAGCCGCAGCTGTTTATAAACTCTGGGTACTCGCTAGACGTCGCACTTCTGCTTTTAAATCCAATAATCCAACGTATACGTTGCACCCTTTCAATTGTCCATATTCTTAACTAAGGTACAATGTAACTTTTTAGACAGTACAATTCCACATGCATAATACCACTGAAACACTTGTGCAGTACGAAACACAGAATGAAAACCTCTTTGGCGTTTACAATTGACGAGGATGCAAAGGAGAGAAAAATAAAATTCAACAATAGCTCAGCTCATTTCCAGTCTTATGTGATAACATTAATAGAACACAAACAATCAACAGAAATTGTCGCCCTTGATGAAGACGAACTGACGTAATCAAGGCAGTTTCTTGTTGCCGAGCCAGCAAGCCAATCCCAACAACATGAAACTACCTAAACCACGCATCAGCTGTGCGGGGCTCTTAGTGAGCTCGGAAAGACACTACAGACACTAGAAAGACACTAGCACCAGGTATTAATGCTTAAATTAACAATTTTTGTGTTAAAAAAGCAGCCAAGGCGATCAATGATGCGCGAGTATGCCACGATCCTATGCCGCTTTCGTACTGCATGCGCATTACCGAAAACGACAGCATAATGTGATCTAGTAATATTCTTCAAAACACAATTTGGACCAAAACGTTCACTGTTGACAGGACCGATGTACTTCAACCAAACATCAAATAATAAACTTCTCACAATTCCGCTAAACCCCTCAGTTTTAGTTTTACACATCAAGTATTAAATAATCAGGGACTGAATATGTCTTTTATTTTTGTTTAGCAGCATTCTTTACAGCATTAAGTAAAACGATAGAATGATGGAAACAATAATTATCATCATGGAACAATAATAAACTCTGGTCATTCCATACGAGTCGCAGATATGAAACCGACAATCTCTACCTGAAGAGCACACGCAAGACTCACGCTATTTTTCGGGAAACAAATCATAGGAAAGAATCTCCTGGTTTGGTTCAAATAAAACAATTTCGAAATTTTAAAATGCTGTGTCCTACCTTGAGGTCGACGAAAGACAAGTCGCATTCTTTTCATGAGGTGAATTTCATTTTTATAATTTTCCATTCATTCTTATTCACGCGTGTGTTTTGACTATTCCGACCAAACCGCCACTGTTTCCTTAAAGGAAAAACCTCCGGGCGCGTGACTTCAGCACGTTGCCTCCTTGCCGCCTTTCTGTCTTCACTCTGCAGATTATTCCTGCTCCGCTCACCTTTCAATGCATCTTTATACCAGCAGCACATTATATTTGCAGATCATAAAATCCCCCCCCAGCGCTTTCCAGGACCGTCCTGACATTACAATTTTATGACCTTGACTTACTGTGGTCACCTGGATAATATTTAAATCAACGTTATGGTCTCCCACTTACATTAAAACTGCCATGATCCCTTTCTTTGTCATTCTCTCTTTCCTTGGCGAGAACTAGCATACCAGATTTTCCAGAAAAATATTATTTCTTTGCAAAAAAAATTCCCAATCAGATTTTCTCAATTTCCTGTTTTATTTTTGGTCTCACGTAATACCCATACAGAGAGGAAAAGGATATCCATGCAAACTTTGCTATATACAATAAATATGACAGATAACATAGACAGATCATGTTAAACAGGCAGACAATACCTTTCAACAAATCAAACATGCATATAAACATACAAAAGGTTACAATTCAGATGCTCTAAACACTACGGAATATATATATATATATATATATATATATATATATATATATATATATATATACATATATATATATATAAACAGACACACATATATATACACTTGACAAAATGCTACGAGATATATAGACATATATATTCTAAATGATGTGGTATTTCCACAGCTGTCCATCAAAGATTTCAGTCTTTATCCACGGAAGCTCAGGTGTAGTAGGTCGGCGTCAGCTCTCGCGCGCGGCTCTCTCTGTTCAGCTTCTTCAGCTTCATCCTCCGATTCTGGAACCAGATCTTGACCTGACGGTCGGTGAGGTTGATGCTCCTACTGATCTCCAGGCGGCGCTCGCGAGTCAAATACATGTTAAACAAGAATTCCTTCTCGAGTTCCAGCGTCTGGTGCTTTGTATAGGGACATCTTTTCTTTCGACCACTTTTAGCTGTCAGCCAGTTTCCAGGTGTCTTGTCGACTTTACGGTCTTCTGCAAAATAGGAATTATTCAAAATGTAAACAGGTTATTAATATAGAGCATACCTAAGCATCAGCGACTGATTTCACCCGTTAATGAGCACGTATGCACGTTTTAGTTGCTCCATTGTTGTTCATTTCCTCAATTATCAGATTAATGAACCCTCATAGTAATTCATTAATGTATTTGTTGGTACTATGAAGCGAGTCGCGTGCTGCCTTGCTTTCTCTCCAGTCTTCCTTACGATGGATAAATGCAACTTTAAATGGCGCAACGGTTAATGTAATGTGCTAATCGTCATAGATAATGCTCACAGTGTAGCGTATCTGGAGCCGTGTTAATTCTATGTATTTTTATATAATACAGAAGTGAATTTATCTTAGGCGCTGAACTATCAAACTGCACTAGTTTTTCCACATTTAAAGATGGAAACGCGACTTATATAAAAATAAATGCAGAAGCCTTGAAGCTTAATCCCTAAATTATTATAATTTAACCTCACTAAAAAGCATTCATAATAATTAAGAAAATACCTAGTTGAAACAGGCGAAATCCGCAGAACGAAATATAGCAGGTAAATACTTACACAATCATCAATTTACATCTCAAGGACATATAGTCACTTATTTCACAAACACTGGCATTATAATACAATAAAGGTGTAATTTTTTTCTGCTATTAAATTTACATAAAATACCATTTATGGGGATCACATTGGATAATGCTACTTATCTCCGAAACATTAAATTGAAAAGAAATTTCAGATGCCTTTCAACAAAGGTATATATATATATATATATATACATACAATAATATAGTAGTATAATACTCTGTTAGGACAATAACTACTTGGTTAAAGTGTAAAAAGAATTTATTTAGTTTTCTACACATAAACTTTAATAGAGAGGCATACACTGATGTGATGAGTTGAATACAATGGCACGCGAATTCAAATTAAAATGACGGTAATTAATTTTGCATTTTAAATATCAATTTTAATCATTAATGCATAAACTATTTTTGTCCCATTATAAATTCGCTTCCAGTTCTATTTGCCAGTATTCGGCCGTTAGTGTTTTATGTGTAAGTACATAGTTTACCACTTAGTGGTGTTCGAACAAGACCCATGACATGCCGATGTTAGGGTCGGTCGCATTTTAAGAAAAATGTAAAGCAGCATTTGGAAGTACGGTGCTTATCCGTGGGGCGGAATGACTGAAACACAAAAAAACGACTTCTCTGGATATAAATGCCATAGCCCTATTAACATTCCGTTTGTTAAAATCAAATAAATATTTAGAAACCATGCTAAGCACGAAAATTTTAATAATAAAATGTATCCTTTCAAGGGTTCATATTCACCGCGTATGTGGAAAAGCCTCTGTAGCAGCTGGCTCAAATGCATGAAAATCTTTCATGGTGCAGTAACGAATCACACAGACACTTCATTCTTAGAGGATTTCTGCAGCCAAACCATTACATTTTATTGCACCGTTGTATATCAGCACAACTGAGTTTCTAGCGTGAGGACAAACAGAACAATGTTTTAGGCTGCACAACAATTTGGAGAAATTTCTATAATGAATTTTTTATATATTGAAATATAAATGCAGCCACAGCACGACGAATAAAAACAGGAAGGGTATCAATACCGTAAGTCTGTCTGAAATCCAGCAAACATTTTTTTTAACACAACACCGCATTTCATCGTCACCCTAAAGCCATTGCCAATACCATTGCAATATATTGTGTATTTTGTATTTTCGTGTTGTACAATGAGACAATGAGGTTAACGAAAAATGCTTATATTTAACCAGTCCGTCTCAGCCTTGGGTGGAAGTCAGATATAGCAATTAAACGTATTGTTTTTAATTTAAGCAGTGAAATCGCAGTCTGTTGGCATGTTGTCTGCTTCATGGGTATTTGCAACCTATTGTGCTTCTGTATCTTACGTGTCACGGGCGTCGTGTTATAAGGTTTACCTTTCATTTCGCTTTCGGAATTATCCGTACTACTGTCCGTACTAAAAATACTTTCCTCTTTCTCCGGCTGTTTTTTAGCTGAACGACGATCTTCAGGGTTTATCCGCTCAACCGACAAGCGTTCTTTAGATTTTCTGGCATTCATTAACAGTTCGGGTAACGGTATTTCAGCAGAAGTTGTCATGTCTGCAGCTGACGCAAATCCTGAATCGAAATCATTTCCATCTTGTGAGTTCTCGGCCGTGTATATCTGGTGTAGATTGAGAAAGTCAGATGCAGATTGTGCAGCCTGATCACAGCTTGACCGGTTGCTGTTGTCGCCCAGTCTTGTGTAGATAGCCGGTTCTGTTGTTTCCTTATTCCTGGCAATGTCATCCCGGTACACGCGACTAATGGCCTCTTCCTTGACAAAATCCACTGGAAAAGTGCAGGAGATCAGGGGTCGGGCAACAGGTTGTTCAATACAAGTTTTTGGTTCTGTCCCCCATGTGTCCAACGGTGTCAGGTAGGGTGTCTGATGGTATATGCTCAACGGTAGAGTTGTTTGTGGAAGCTCATCTCCTTTGGTGACAGGTGAAGAAACAATTCCACAATTTCGCATAATCGAAAAGCTACACTCAGTACCCGTTTGCATGTACATCTCAGGGTGTTCGAGATAGCCCTCGCTTCTGCACGTGAAGGATCCTCCCACCAAGTTGTCCACTAAGAGAGAGCCACTATAGGCACGTTGCTGGGGCACGACATTTCATTTTGTTAATTCGCAATCCAAGTTTTTTCTAAGATTACTACAGTAAGCTGACATCTTTTTTGGGGGTGGGGGGGGGGGGGCAAGAAAATACTAGCAACTTAATTACGGATGCACAGTATATTGCCACGTGATTTTTCCACCAATAGAAATTTGGAAGTGGCCTTGATTCTTCAGACAGAATTGACGTCATCGAGGTCAAGTTGGCGAGCTAGCGAGACCTCGCATGGACCAATGGCGCCATCTAGCCAGCGTCATGAGGTAAAGACACCCACAGCAGCAAGAGAACAAAGAGGAATCCATGCAAGTCTAGTGACGCTGCCGGTTCCTATGGTCCTTGCGGCTTGGGGAAGACAAATCAGCTTTTAATTACAGAATCAAGCTATAGTTCCAGAATCTAAACCAACTGAGGAATTCCACCGATACATAAAGCAGGAAGCACCGTATCAACGCTGAAATCTTCGAATTGTTTCATATGTCCCGTGTAAGGACTAATCCCATGTCATAAGATTACTGAAAGTTTATTATTATAATTATTATTATTAGTAGTATTTGGTTATTATTATTATTATTAATGTTGTTGTTGTTGCTGTTTTTTTTTTGCTTTTTTTTGCTGTTGTTTACAATATAAACGATAGGCCGATACGTACAAAATAAACACAGAATCCATTCATATGTTGAACTAATTACTGTGTGTATTTTATTTTCTGCCTTTGTTGTGTTTTCCTATCCTGGGGGATTGGTGACATTGTCCTCTTAGAGGAAAAAAGGATGAAAGCTTGCAGTGTATTTCATATAGTAGCTCATAAGTTTAAGTTCCACGTTTTTTTTTATCTTTTACTTCGACATAATGGTCGTATACGGTGGTTTTCTGTTTATCAGACAAATTATCGAGGAAATAAAAATAAGGAACTATATTATGAATTATTTGATTAGAAGAACGCAATATAGCGTATACAAAATAATACAATACAAATACCTTTAACCTGCTTATTATGTTACATTTATACAGTAAATAAACGTTAACTTACTCCCGGGGTTAAAACACATTTTTTGATAGTTTTGCATATTTTTCTACTGAATTAACGGAATTATGCAGACATCGAGTTAAATAACTGTTCTGAAAACACGCAGAACTTCCTCAAAGCCGCTAGTGAAGTTTTATTTTCCTGCACGCGAAAGAAATACGATAAGCCATGACTAATGCGTAAGAATCGAAGAATCCTATAAACTAAATATTCCCTCAATCCCAATCATATGGAATAAATGCTTTCTATATTAGGCCTATATTTTTGGAAGATTTTGTTTTTAATGCAAACTCCTATTCTTCTTCCCCTGTAACTTATTTAAGATGAAGTTGCCACTGGTTAAGCGATTGACAAAACACTACTGCGAAGCAGAATAAAAAAAATGTTTTAGGCTTAAGAAAGCAAAACTGTTTTAAGTTCAACTTTTGCGTCGCTGTTTTGGTCTAAAGATTTCAGTGACCACCGAAATGCGTCTCATTTTCAGTGGCGCCGACAAAGGGGTCACTGTCAACGACCAGGCCTCGAGAAGGTTGGTTTTGCTCGAAGAAGTTGCTGTGATTGGTCTACACGGCTGTTTGTCAGCAGCTTCAGCAAAACGACAGCTTTTCGATTCAAACAATTCTAAGCCACAGTATGAAAAAATATTGCTTTTAACTTTGATATAATTTCAAATTGATTTTCGAAAGCGTAAACGATAAAAAAAAATGTAATTAAATAAAAGACGCGTGTGTAAACACACACACACACACACACACACACATATACATATCTATCTATATACTGTATATATGTGCGTGTATATATATATATATACACGCACACACACGCATATACGCACAAACACACACACACACACACACATATATAGTGTGTGTGTGTAGATAGATACATAGATAGGCATGTATATATATGTGTGTTATTTGTAATCCTATTATTTCCTGGGATTAAGGTTAACCAGAGCAGTACTTTTATTACATTTATATATTATATTATATTGTACTGTGTCTTTTATTGTTAACAAATTTTGCATTAACCGAAACAGATTTTTTGTGTATGTTTCTGGAGGTTTTGCCGATTTATTTTATTACGCTGACGTCATTGCGTGTATCTGCGTTTCAGACCAAGAGGAAATTAGTTTATGAGACCCCAATAAACTCGACCCATAGCAATACCTAAAAAGACCTCATTTATGGAAACGTTTGCTCTTTGTCATAATACGCACATGGGTTTGTTTTTTCTTATTCGGCGTATTTTTTCAAATTATAAACAAATAGGACCGCTAAACGCCTCCCTCTTTAAGATAGCTGGGGGCCTGCTCATGACCTCATAATTTCATTGGTTTTGTGTATTGCTGCAACAGCACTGTTAAGATAACAACGTTCACCTGATGTTATGTACAGCATTCTAATATTTAACATTTGTTTATTCATATGCGTGTGTTCCTGCGCCCTGTATATCTATACGGTGAGATGTCACGGTGATGGCTTTTAAAATCTCCGTGCACTGTTCTTACAGTGCTTACAGTGATACTTCCGTAGAGCCGCATAGCTTTGTGTGTCTGTATTTACTGCGGTTCCCCGTAGATATAATTACACCACAACTCAGGAAAATTTGATACTCCATAAAAGACCCAGGGATACAATCTGCGTATGTAATTGCAAACTTGCATGTAAGACCGTGTTGGATTGATCTTGCAGTGTCGGTTATGGGGAAAAAAATAGACTATATGAGATTCAAGACGTGGGGAATAAGCAACCAGAGATGGATTCCGGCGGAGAACTTCAGCGAGAATATTCATATATCTCCGGGCTGATCGCTCTCAGCCTTTCGTCGGCTCCTACGGATAATTACACTGCCGTTGCGTCCGGCTCAAACGGCCGTAAGGAAAACAACAAACAAACAATAGGCTAAACAGAAAGGGACACAACCTTAAAGTGTTCTGCAGCCATAAATACGGCCAAAAAAATGTGAAAATGTTTAATACTATAGTTTTATCCTCTTTCTCACACAACAATTGATATATTTTGCGTAATATCAAAATATAAAAACGTCAAAATACTATATCAAATATTAAAGCGCATCGCAAAACATACCGAAAAATAATCTTTTTAAGCAAAAATCTTAAGTACCTCTGACCAAAATTCGACACACAGGGAAATGGATGCCGGGAGTTCCCAGTTATGTGTGTGAAGTGAGTTTCTATTTTAAGAATCGCTGTTAGACAACGGCCGAACAGGCAGCTTTTAACGTGTGACTAAACTATTATCCCGTACGCTTATATATATATATATATATATATATATATATATATATATATATATATATATATATATATATNTATATATATATATATATATATATATATATATATATATATATATATATATATATATGATTTCAGTTTCAAAATGTAGATTTACTGCATACCATTTGATCAGGAGCATTAAATCACAAGGATCGTTATTTCTTTCACATTTATTGTTTAATTAAACCGGGAAATATACAATGCAAGACGTCATAGAAATAGAAATTACTTCACAGTGATAACAAATGGAATTTAAAATGTGCCCTACTTTTAAATATTGTTGATTGTTTTTTTTTTAATAAAGACCTTTTCAAAATGTCTGACTGATACGTGTTACTATGGGCGTCGTTAGGTCCGATCACTAGGGGCTGTAGCCCCTATTATTTGAAGCCGAGCCTCGCGTATTTTAGCCCCGATGCCAGTCTTCCTTCGAAAATAAATAAGTCAAGATCCAGGTAAACTTGACTTAACCCCTGATCGTTTCAATCGCTTCAAACTCCCCTGCGTGTTCCACCTTTAACTTACTGCAGCGAAAGCATAGCGACAATCTTCCAGCTTTACGGCTGGTTGTTTATACCTCATTTGAGGTCGAGAATAATACAGAAGAAGACGAAGAAGACCTCTACCACCTCGACAACAAGAACAACATCTGCAATAAGACTTCCACACCACCTCAACAACAACAATAATAACAACAAGAATAAAAATGATAACAACAATAATGATAATAACAATAACAATAAAAACAATAATAATAATAAGAAGAAGAATAAACGACATTATATTAAATTTAAACATCGTGTAATGTTAAGAAAAACGACGTTAACTGGGTTTTGATTAATTTGCATTAACCTTCATCAATAAATTAAGTTGGTTGAGCTGAAAAGAGCTTTATTGGGCCTATCTGTATTTCTAATGAAAGTTGCCTTTATCTATATGTGGAATTAAAACATGTTACTACAAATAATTTAAAGTAGTACATGGAAAACAAAGCAACGCCTATGGCGGTTTATTTAATATAAAATGTTTACCTTGCGTCTCCGAGATAATCCTCGCATACCAGTCAAAGAGTCAAAACGGAGCTTAACATAATAAATTACAACACGACTCAAACCCAAAAGTTCGTTTGTCAACTTGTTTGTGTTTCTGTTCTCTTTGACAATACGAGCAATATGATAAAATGGCATTAAAAGTCCAGACGTGTTTCTTCAAGTGTGCCAACATCACCTTCAGTTGGATTGCTGTTGGATTGTTTTAGGTCTTCCCGCCATCATTTCCTTGTCTACGTCAGATGTCTCACTTCCTTGGTATGGCGTTACCTTTATATTTCCACATTAGCGAATAAAACCCGAATATGCTTTGTGTTCACAAGCAGCGATCAGTTGACCATTCGCTTAAACGTGTCACTGTCACGTCTTAACCCAGAGTGGGTCTTCAGAATTTGTTGATTACGCTGGTTGCGTAATGGATTTAACACACTGTATAAACAGAACCAGAGAGCGAATACTAGATCGACAGTGCCCCCGCTGTCTGGTAAGCAGCGCGACAACCGTTACGGTTGGAGGACGGTGACGACGGGATGGGAAAGGAGAATCCGATAAGTCAAGTACGTCATCAGCCCAGGGCCAAGGTCCTCGGTGGGTGTGACAGGCAATGTCTGCTAGCCTTGATCGCTGGCCATGCGTCTCCCTCCGATCTCTTGCCCTTCCTAGCCACGCCACACGCACGCATCCCTAAAAGCATGCCCCCCTTCCCCTCACTCGCTTTTCATGAAGTTTGTGTGGATGTAGATACACAACATAGTGACAAATACGAATGCAGACCGTTGACTTTCCTCTCCTGTCGTTTAAAACGCCAAGTATCCTGTACAAACATGCGAAACGGAATGAAACGGAGCCACTTGTAAAATCACATGCCAATATCATATTAAATTTTCCATGCGTGAAAATATTACATTTTACTGGGATAATAAAGTGTTTTACAGAGCGCGTTAAATCGCTCCGTACAACACGCGAAGTACCTGCTGACGTTTAATATTAAGGTCAGCAGGAACGGGTTGCTGCATTTCCAGACATCGCAGCCTTTCATTAAATCTCAGTTCCTCGTCATATTTCTGAAGAAAGCTTCGCCGCCTTGTGGCACACGGATAAAGGCGACGCTCTATACATTAGCCATGCTCAAAGGCAAAAAGTAGTTTCTTCCGCTTTTCTTTACCCAGCATAAATACACAACATATGCCGACCCTCTAAAGCAAAAAATCACTGCACTGTATTTTGTGAATCTATATTTCCGTCTGTAATGCTATACCGTTCAAAATTAAAATATCCCCCATCCCCCACCACACCCCAACACACACACCCCTTCCTTATTCGGCTCATTCCTCCGTCATTCTCCAGCAGCGCAGTTAAGCTCCACGTGGTCAATAAAGTAGGGTTTATAGGCAATTTTAGTGAATCGGAGTGGATGGAGAACTTTGAACTAGCCTGAGTTTGAAGATGAGGAAGTCATTCATGAGGCTGGGGCTGCATGGGACGAAAGTAAAAAAGGTGGAAACTGAGCTGTGGGGGGGCTAGTTGAACGTGGGTATACTGGTGCTTATGCTTGTGTATTTTTTACGGACAGACAGTCTTATTTGTTTACTATTTACAGCGGAAGTGAATGTCACTCTATGAACAGACGGTGCAATTAAGAAGGAAAATAGCTATTTAGTGGCTCTGCCTTTATGGCAGTGTCTAGACGACCATTGGAAAACCTATTTAGTGACCCTAAAACGTTTTCTCCTCCACAAGTCTCAAGGAGAGCGGCTTTGCGCATGCACAATAAGAATTCAGTCTGCATAGTCCACACCCTTCCCCCAACACGCAGACCTAGAAACGTTTGTAATCATAATAAACTGTCATCTTTTTCATCTAATTTATTTAGCGGAGTGAAACAGGTATTTATAGTTACATTCATAATTTCCCACTCAAACAATCAATTACCAGTCACGCATTCCACCTTATTGTGGGCAATTTTGATGATATGCAATTGTGTGCACAACTTCTCAGGATTCGTACAAAACTCAAATCGTCAGAATAGAGATTTTTCCTTACAAACCCGGCGAATGCATGTCTTCACATATCGCTATGTTAAGCGGATATATAGTCTTTATTTATTTTATATTTAAGTACGTCTCCAGTGGTGCGCGGCGTCTGTCAATATGTTCATGCTTAACAATAAAGGTAACAAATCAGATTTTCAGATTTCTTTTATTTTAAGTTATTTCCACAGTATGTGTACCATAGGTGGATTCTTCGTCCCGTATTGCAAGTCAAGAAAACATCAAGCATTGTTTTAGGGGTTATACGAAAACTACCAGTTTTGAAGGGAAACCCGTCAGCATAAAATATGTATTTACATTCAATATAGAGACTGTGCATATTGCGTAGTATTTTTTATATATTGGACAATAAACTGTAGACGTCCAAGTGAAAACCAAGCAAGAAGAAAATATAAAATTGCAAACAAAATATTTGGCTTTGTAACTGTATTTTGGAACATTTCATATTGCGCAATAATAGGAAATACGCAACAACACAAAAAAAACAAACAAACCGAGAACAGCATGACTATATGACAGACCGCATTGATTAAATCGGTGTGTGTGTGTGTGTATATATATATATATATACACACACACACCGATGTGTATACACATGTACACAAAAACGTTAACCACATTCAATGCAATGTTAATCGTTCTTTTCTGTTATTGAATATAAAACAGTCCTTTACATTTGTTGTTTTTTTTGGGTTCGTAATGGTTAAAAGGGTTTTTCTGTCGTCGTAGCACAAGATTTACCCAATGATAACAAATTGTTGTACTAAGTGAAATGGTCTCATTTAAAAGTATCTTTATATTTTTGTTAGAAAGAATGATTTCAATAACAATGCACAAAGAAAATGTGCTGAAACAACACAGTTTCTGAATTACGTAAAATTATTATTTTCACCATCTGCTGTGGCTTATTGTTCACTTCACAATAAAGGATTTCCAGAAAAATACTGCAATCGATCTCTACTCAGTTTCTTCTCTTTCATTCTGCGGTTCTGGAACCAAATTTTGACCTGTCGGTCGGTGAGATTCAGCATTCTGGACAACTGAAGTCGCTTTTCTTTGTTAATGTAAACGTTAAAGAAAAATTCCCGCTCCAGTTCTCGAATCTGAAACTTTGAGTATGGACATCTCTTCTTTCTCGTCCGAGGAGTACCTTGGAGGAAAGAAATAGAAAATGCAAAATCAATAACGTGTAGCTGTGATAGTTTTCCTCACCGAGATCGACTGTTATATTCTACTCAACTGATGGGCAGATATGGAGGAGCCAGTTTAACTGTGGCCACAGTTACATTGAAACAATATAAGGTAACTAAGCTCTCGCCTTAACATCACCGAATTTTCTGTATATTCATTTGTTGTATTTGTTTGGCTTCAATTTTCTTAAAGCCACAAATTCCAGGTTTTCTTCAGATATGAATTAATTAATAAACAGATTTATTTAGTACAAATAATCAAATGTTACGTAGTTATCGACATTGTGTTTACGCCAAGGGAAATACTACGTACTTAAAGTCGCCCAAGCTTTTTAAATGATCATAATTCCAAATAAACATTAAATGCATTAAACGTCAAATTATAAATAAGTTATGGAACAAATATGAAACTGAAGAGAAGTAGAAAATAGAGAGTTATTGTACAGATCAACGACATAGTTGAAATTATGCAAAAAAACGTTCTCATACGTTTCTGTGGTGATATTTGGCCTAAGATCAGCTGAAAAAAATCGCTTATTTTGAAAATGAAACAAGATTTACATTGCTAAACAATTTTTAAGCAGAACAAGCTTAAAAAAGATCAGACTGATCAGGCTGCGTACAATGTTAACTACAAAAAACACAATAATTAAATATCCTCCTGGAATAGGTCTATGTGCTTTTAATCTATGTATCCTTTTTATACATCTATTTATTTTTCTACACATATCACACTGTTCTGTCGTGTAGCATCACATACACAGCCACCCTCGCTATTTATGAAATACGTAAACTGCTAGGCTGTTATGCCGGAAAAAAAGATGGACACAGACGGGAAGTCACACAAGCAAGGAGATAGATAGACAGATAGATAGATAGATAGATAGATAGATAGATAGATAGATAGATAGATAGATAGATAGATAGATACGCATCAACTTATGAGAAGCATGAACTTAAAAGTCAAGCAATACAGCAGTGGAAGACGTGTTGTAGGCTACTGATTCTTGCTGTCTCAAATTTTAATTTCCACCATCGCGCTCTGTATCATGCGTTTGGTAGTTTGCATACAAGTGTTACAAGAAAATTCACAGGACGCCAACAGCACTGTTCTGCTCAATTGATTTTTACTCTCGGCAGTCCACGTAGAGAATCCCTTAAAATGCCGACGCAAGTTCATGATCAAAGTTAGCATTTGTCACAATAGTGCGCTCTTAAAATTTCACAGACTCTATGATAGCTACGCCTGTGTATAACATCCCCGTTTTTCAAAGCGCCTTCCCATCGTAAAAATTCTTCTCGTTGGAAGAAAGAGCTTTGTAGGTAATAATAAAATCCTTTGAATGCTTATAAAACTCCACATAAAATCTGACCGACAAAACACCGGGCTAGTCCCTTAACCTTTCCCCATTTACAGCTTCGGTACCTACTAGAGTGAGTGTTCTTGTTTGCGCTGCCGTCCTTCGTCCCCGAAGAAGCACATGAGCCCGAAGTAGTGCGCTCTTCCTCATCCTCCGGCTCCTTTTCCGGGTCTGCAGCGCCGGAGAGCGTGGAGGGCTGCAGGGGCTCCGTTTCCAACTTGTGCGCCTCGTTCTTTTGCAAGCAGTTATCTTGCTGGCTGTCCGTACTGCAGTACGCGCTCTCGAAAAAACGGTCGAAACCTTGAGGGAGTACGTTGTTTTTACCAACTGCGGAGTAAAAACCTGTAGGGGGATGATTGGAGCTGGGATGGTGATGGTGGTGATGGCTGTAGACACTTTCGTTTTTCATAAACATTTCTGTCATGGTGGATGGCGGAAGACAGTCCCTATGCACCAAGTCTTCTCCTGTGTAGCAGGATGCATAATTGCTCCTATGGTGCCATTTACTGGAGGGGTCCAAGCCATATGAAACGTCCCGTACCGGCTGTACTTGAGATAGATTTGTGGAATAAGGGTAGGTGATTTGCCGCGTTGGGGCCTGTGGTAGAAACGAGGAGACCGCAGAAAATTCAGGGACGTAATAGGTACAGCTCGGGAGGTAGATATTTGAAGCGCAGCCGGTTCTGTCCCCAAATTCGGAAGTCCTGTCTTTGCGCGTCTGGGAGCAGAAGTTGCCCAGATTCACAGAGTTAAACATCTTTCTCTCGTTCGATAGATGTTTTGGATTCGCACTGTAGAAGGAGAGAATTTGGGAAGGCGAGATGACGCGCTATCCGTCTAAGTCGCCCGAGACACGTGATCGAAAGTAGATATTGTCATATATCAATTTGGAAACACTTAGATGCGTAGGAGTGGTTCGCATAGGTACGATTTAGGAGGTTCAAAGGATTAGTTTGAAACATGGCACGAGTATAATGAAAACCAAAAGCGCATTTCGAATAGATTCACCGCACCGTTGTGGCGTATAGGACTCAAACCGTTTTCTAAACAAGAATTCACTTAATGCGTATGTTATGTAGCATTGCACTCTAATGCTGTAGAGGTAAGATTTATTATTATTATTATTATTATTATTATTATTATTATTATTATTAGTAGTAGTAGTAGTAGTAGTAGTAGTAGTGTTATTACTATTAGTATTATTATTGCTACTGCTACTACTACTAGTACAGCCATGGCCAATTATATTATTGTTAGTTCTGCTGCTATATTCATCTGGTGTCGTCGCTACTCATTACACGTTAATCGTATTCTTTTATTTATTCTGCAGTATAATATTTGATGCAATTAGCGTCATACGTTGTTCTTGTCCAGAATACAATTCCCCATAATAAGTCCCTATAAGTCCCAATAAAGTCATCCTTATTGATAAGTGCTCATGTTAACTCCACTTCCAGGTCGGGGGAAAAAGGAGGATACAAAATTCACTGCTCGTTTTTACACTCTGTTTTCAGGAGATACAAGTATATCATATCATCATTCACCTTATCTGGTTTGCGTGCAATGAATTGTATTATGTCAAGTTCATTTAAACTCGCGTAATCAAAAAGGAAATAATTGTCTTCACTGGTATGATGCCCAAATGAGTTATATTTCCTGAGACCATTATTTTTTTTTTGTTTAGTAGAAAGTTCATTTTCTGCTCTACGAATCATAGCCTCCCCAACCCCAGTATCTGAAATAATCTGCACTGCTGTAGTTCAGAAATGCATTAAGTGCGAATTTTTTTATTTTATGTTTATTTTTAATCCCTATATCTCTTATTGAAATGAAGATTGAGGAGCGCATTTCATAAAATTGTAAAATGTAATGGAAATACCAATAAGAAAATAAGTTTATATGACATTTAAACTCTATATAAAATTCCCCAATAATTCCTGTCTACCCCCCCTAACCCCACCCCACTCCACCAACCACTGCCACCAGCACCACCAGCACCACCATCAAGAACGTTCCTGGAAGTTTACAGGTTACATTTATAAGAAAGCTTTGTAATATATCTGGAAATGAGTTTAACAGTTTAGAAAGACTGCTTAATACGCAGCTTCGGTCAGGTTTGTAAAGAATGAAGACACAGGACAGCATGAGCAGCACGAGAAAGAAAACACGGAGACAGAGGAGGGAAATAAAGACGTAGATAAACGTCACATATGAAGATTATTCACGGTTTACATATACATAAAGATGAATTTAATGTCTCGAATGGAAATCATATACGGGCTTGCATAAATAAAAATGCATTTAAAAGTCACGTACAAAAATTATTCACGGATTATACAGAAATGCAGATTTATTCAGCCTTCGCGCTTGTTCGTTATAGGATGCAATATTTGCACCTCGAAGTTGTATTTTGTGAGCCATAACAACGTTGACCGTATTTTGTGTTATTAGTCTGATGTCTAATTAGCTTATATGTCTACAAAACCAGCTATTCGTCATTATCCTAGTGCAGGAAATCATTAATCGAACTAGGCTTATTTTACATCTGTAATATTATATCCCTGTTAATAATCTAGTTTATAAAATAAAATTAAGCTGAAATTCACCATACACACTTTGCTACTCTGATAAAACTTATTACATTAAATACTGGCCCCATATTCATATACGTTAATTGCGTTGTTTGTACACATATATCCAAAGGGGTTTCTAGCTATTGAAAAGACCAGGTTTCAAGTTTACCTGGGGCCTGACTTTTTTTTTGAAGGAAGACTGGCACCGGGACTAAAATACTCAGGGTTTAAAATACTCAGGAGTATAGACCCGAGTGATCGGACCTAATGGTGCCCATGCATATATTTTCATATTTGGAATTCTTTAGAGTTTTAATTGATGCTTAAAGATTTCAAAACATTGTAACAAACCTATTTTAAAAGCTCACTGTGCTACCTTTGGGGTAAACCTTTTATTACGGTATTAAACAATCTTGTTTGTTGCGACCAAGTGAATCAAAACGCTTGGAAGTGCTTATAGGACCTATGAATTTATTTCTATGGGTTTCACATGAAAATACTGCGGAGCAGAAAATCAGCTCAAGCAGTATATGTAGTGCAGCATTGTAATAAATCTGTGTATATGTTTAAATATACGCATATCCAGTTCCCAGTCATGATAAACATATAGTATTTGCCAAGAATTGTTACAGATGGTTCATATAAATTGTAATTTTGCTGTAAAATCGCAGGGAATGATGATTGATATTATTTTATAGAATTGCGCGCAGAAATGTAACCAGTTTATTAATACGGGCCTTTTTATATAATAAGAGACTAACAAGCTGCAGGCGATTCTGGGGCGTTTCGCGAAAGCGGCGCGAAACTGTTAGCTTCTCTAAATCCTCCTTTCAGCAGACAGAATCTTGTATACAAACACATACACAATGCAGACAGTTATCCCGACGCGGCACTTGAATTTGACCACTAAAATCCTTTGGATACTGTCATAAAACCCTGACTGACCACAGTGTAGCCACGAGTTTTTTTTTTTTTTGTTGTTGTTGTTTTTAAATAACAAAGAGGTAATCCACACATCAAAAACCAACAAATAAACGAACAAATATATATATATATTTGATTATTTTTTGAAGGAGTGTACTTAAAATCACGATTTCCTCAAGTAGCCTACATAACGTATCAAAATAGATTTAATATACTGGAGCACCACTTAAAGTATGAAATATCTTTTTTAGACACCAAATCGGGCAGGACACACGTAAATGCGTATCTTTTGTACTTCCGCGTGAGCTCGCGAGTCCTGGATTAAGTGGGGATTTGTCCAACGTGATACTGCAAATGAAGTATTTGATGACGCAAACACCATGTTATTTTGGCAATTTAATTGTTGTAGTTAAAATAAGTACATCTAGTAAAAAAACAATGCAATTATTTTATAGAATATTGCTAGTCAGTGTAACATTGTCACAGTATAACATTAGACATGCTGCAATATCAATTTGAAATAACTCTCTTCGAATCCATTCATTTAAAAAACGAAGGACAGTGATTTCAGAGAAAATTGAGAAACTTGTCTTTTTAATGTCAGAACAATTAAATTCCATAACGCTTAACTGAATATAAAAAGTGAAAAATAAAAGCAAACAGGCTCTAAAACTGATTTGCCCTTTTTTTATATTTTTCAAATGATTAAAAGGAGTAAAGCTCTGATTTAATGAAAAGGTAAGATGGCTGCAATGCAAGTATTGTTAAATGCCCATGTTTATTTTGATACCAGATCTATTTATTTTTATTGTATAATTTTCTAATGTAGAAAATGTATTCTATACATGTGTGTCTGTCTGTGTGTATAGGAAATATATCTTAAATTATATGTCACTAATAAAACTTAGATTTTATTTGAAAGTAAATATTACTTTATGGATTAATCGTCTTGCCTTTATTTATTATAAACAATCAATATTAGTAGTGGGGACTTAGAGGTATCAGGTAAACAAAATGTCTTGGTTATTTACTTGTCATGTTATTAACAGGTGATACATGTCACTAAATGAGCTATTAGCTGATTCTTGTTTTCATGGAGTAAAAGGTTCACTGAGGCGAGCAGTAGGACCCTGAGGTGCGGAGCAACGCCCTGTTGCCTCGGTATGAGACCTCACTTCCCCTCGCGGAGCTATGCTGTCTCACATGTATGTAGCTGGATAAACTAACAGTGAATTTAAGCTCATGAAGCGGTGTATAAGATAAAAGCACATGCGGCCTTTCAAAGTCATCTGTGACCTACATGGACATCTGTGACCTACATGGACATCTGTGACCTACATGGATAGCACTGCGCAGATTCCATTTTTGATTTGCAAAAGGAAACATTTAAGTAGGCAGCAAGCTTGTGATTTGAATCGATGCAATGGCCATATGACCCATACAAATACTGCAGTTGCTATACTACAAGTATGCTCAGTATATCAGTTATTTATCGTTTAATTTCCGTAGTGTTTGTGGAACATCACATAGAGCAAGCCTACAGTTTCCAAGTAAATCGGCCGGAAACAAGTGGTAAATGTGGGAAACATTTGCAATAACATTATTGTCCCCTGATGCCCCAGATAAATTTAATTGGATGTAAGATGGGCTGTTAAATTCAGTTGTATGAGCTGTGAAGAGTTTCAAGCAACAACAAAAGGCCCTTGGTTTTACTGAGGTCGCTAAGAATGCACCTACGCTCGCCAAGCGTGAAAGTCCAGAGTGTGTGTGTGTGTGTGGGAGTGTCTGTGTCTGTGTCTGTATGTGTGTGCGTGCGTGTGTCTGTATGTGTGTGTGGGTGGAAGAGGCCTGGGGCGGGGCCTATTGCACTGGATTCTGCATGGTGCCTGTGTCGACACATCTTTTGGCTGTGTGTGTATTTTTACTTCTCAATGCACATTATAAAAGTCACTTCTGAACTCAACAATTGCAATGAATAGATGTCAGGCTTGAAACTTGAGTCAGTTTTCAAAGAGAAACTTGCATGATAAGGCCAGTAGCAGGACACTAAACTGAAATATGTAACCATGAGTATGTTAACAAGCACAAAGAGCAGCACTGCAGCCAAGGCACAGCCTGAATAAAGAATGTGATTATAGAAATATGTATTTATTCACTACTGTAGGTTGAAACAAATAAAATTTGCTGCATGCCTTTTTACTTCATATTTTAACTGTTCAGCATTTTCTGGCTACTTTGCAATAGCTCAACATAATCAATATAGAGGAAAAAAGCAGTGAGTGGGTTTTCTTTACAAAGTGGAGAAAAGAGCTAACAAGCAATTTGTTTCTATCAAATTGATTAGTATATTTCACTGATATATATATATATATATATATATATATATATATATATATATATATATTATGGTATATTCTTTGTATTTTGTTATACACTTTTTATAATGACAAACGTGAAAAACACATTTATGAGAAGTCACAAGATGTCTGAGAATCTTATATCACGTGGATAATACCCCCAGTGTTGCATGAATTGTTGGATTGTGCCAAATAAAACATCTTCATGGAAAATGTCACT